CACTATCAGAGTACCATATGTCAAATTACAGCCACGTACATAGGTCGACAAGTAGGTACTGTCCAGCATAGGGCATCGCCCCACCGGACAAAAAACAAGAAGTAAAAAAAATACCCTAGGTTCGAATAACGAAGCAACGAAATGAGAAATTGGGATGAGAGACGGGTAACCATTACAGACGACAAGTCAGCTTGATGTTATTAACATGTTATTAACTATCACGTGACCCAGAAATCGAAAATTTCGCCCCACTCGGTGTCCATGCCTTCTAGATCAGCATCGTCCTCCGCAGAATCGTCTTGAGTGTTGACACTTGATGAATTCTTATCTTTTCTGCAGAATGGTTATTCTACACAAATGATAAGAATCGTTAAGTATGAGCCTGATCGTCATCCTATACTGTTTCCCCATCCCCAGGATATCATTCGACAACCCCCTCGGAAGATAAATTGCACATAACCTCGCACAAAAAATGCGTTTCGCCTTCCTCGCCGTTGTTGTTGCTTTGAAAGTATCTTCGGCAGCCTGTATCTAGGGATTATTGTAAGGACATTGGTCAAGAGACTACAAGAGTACTATCTGGATAGCAACTGTTGCAGTTCGCATTGTGCCATTGTGAGTATGGACATGTCGTTTTGCAACCAGGATTCAACCACACGACTCACCTCCGCGACTCAGTAAGAATATTGATACTAAATATTCATTCAGAACGCATATAAACAACCTCCTTCAGCGTTACAAGAGAGACCTATGCGCGTCGTGGCCTCTTGCCCGGCACACAACTTCAGACACGTAGCGCCGCTAATCATTTAACATTGTGTCTCTTTCTCCCTTGGGCAGAGCTTGTAGTTGAAGCCATGGGTCGCCCACTGGTCTGTTCAGCAAGTTTTTAATCTACGCATTCGAAGCCAATTATGGAGCTGTACGAATTGTTCTCTGCTGCGATCTAGCATGAATTGCTGTGTCGACCCGGATTCTGAAACGCATTCATGAAGATGAGGCTATCATTAGTACGTCGACGCTTCACCGTCCATCGAGGACTACGTCCCTGCACCAGCCGTCTGACGAAGCGTAGAAACAGGGTTTCAAACTATTTTGAAGCAATGTCCGTTTTTGCTGGCAATGCTGTTCCCGTCATCAATCAGGTACGCCATCATGTTATAGATTTCTTATCGTGGGCGATAATCATTTATGCTCCGTAGTTGCATCGTTTGGTGCTCTAGCCATCAGAATCGCTCCTCTTCCACAGGCATTCTTAGAGAACCCTTGAGGCTTCTACATGCTACAAGGTTTCATTTCCGCGCGCATTCCCTCGTATTGCAGTGATAGACGCGCATAGTGTAAGGTTCTTTTATTCCCTTTATATCGTTTCACGAAGTCAACGACTCACACGTTGCTCTGATTTTGCATCTATGAACTTACATTCAGGTCATCCGAGCAATAACTACCTGTATAACCCCTGGATAATACTCGGGGCCGGCCCATGAGGCATAGGGATGGATCTTGGTCCTTCCATACCGATCGGAACCCTTGAGGTATGAGAGTGAAAAGTTAATTGGACGATTATATTATTTCATCGTTCGACTCTGCCGAATGGTGTTGCTTAGGGCTTGCAGTCAGCGCAACAAATATTGCCTCGAGGCTGGTACTTATAATGGCATGTCGTTTTATATGAATGGACCTTTTCTCACTACTTCGCTATATACTGATTCTGATCGTCACTGAGTGCTATTCACAACGGGGAAAGGCAACTCGTTGAGAAATTTGACTCGAGAAACTCGCACATCTAACGAAGCAACAGCTCGTGGAGGCTCGGTACGTGGCTTATGAGGATCGCTTAGTCCATTTCACACCAAGCACTGACATCGATATTGCGACTTGTCTATCTGACACGAGAGCACCATGAAAAGATGCATGAATGAATGATGGGAACTGTGAGGCGTGAAAAGCCGCCGGCCGGAAGGGAGGAAAGCATCGAGCAAAGGCAAGCGAACGGGGGATGAAATTGAGGCAGTGCGAAGAGTATGAAACTAAAATGAGAGGTTCCAGCAAGAGTCATCAGTGAATTCATGAGACCTTGATATTGTAGCCGTGCGAACTGTAGAAGTATATAATTTTGCTCCTGCAAAATTTAAATATGATCATTTATACTGTTAAAATTTTGATTCGTAGATACATAGTGTAAGGTTTGTTTTTGCATAATTTGTTTTGTGGTCTCCCACGTTGCTCTGATTCTGCATCTGTTTCGTCATCTATGTTCTGGACCACGAAGGTTCAAGGTGTTGGTTTAATAAATATTTTATTCAAAACCGCGGGAGATAACAAATATTGATCAACAGAATGCGCAAGAAACTAATAGGTTTTTTGGGAAAGAAGCCCCTTTTGGGCTTGTTCGACCGAAACATGACTTTAGACCCTAGAGAAGGAAAACAGGGCAAGTATGAGCAAAGTTTCCCAAAATTTTTAGGAGCCCAACGACGCAGCTAGCGAATGCTTGTCCCCAAAAAGGAAGGAGTGATGCAACAACTTACAAGGATGATCAACGCACTGCAGGAAGTGCATAACAAGTAAAAGGCTCAAGAACAGGTGATTCTTGAAGGTATGGTGCCATAATAATGGCATGTTGATGAAGATATCCCACAAAAGCATCGCCTTTCCATCGCCCAATGGACTTTACAGTCTCGAAAGGCACCCTGCGCAGTAGATACTCTAATGTACCCCCAATATGCAATCTGTGCCTGGTCAAGGACTCCATCCCAAGTTGCGTTGCTGCACGATCCAGACAATTCAAAAAGGCAGAGTGAGTCAAAGGGCAAAGGCCTTTTTGGTGGTGCCAACTAAACAATGCAGCAGAAGGAGAGGGGGTATTGACAAACAAGTGATTGGATAGTGCATGGTGAGGGTCGACATCTCCAGACTGAGGTGCAAAGTAAACGTCTTCACCCATAGTTGACATTTTGGTTTGTGGTAGGTGGAGCACTGTGACCTTCAGCCCATGACAATCCTCATCAAAACAGATGTCAGAAGGCTTCACATGAAGCGCAGAATTGAAGGAAGTCAGAGAATGTGAGGTAAATTCTCCAAGACGAGTGAGACAAAAGAACGATGTGACCAGACATCCATATACTGCGGCATCGAGGGGAGCAGATAGATCCATTGTGGAACAAATGGCGCGAAGAGTTGCAACCGTGAATGGACAACATTTAGGACGTGTGGATTTTGCAGGAGCAAAACGAGCACCTCCTTCCAATGCTGAGGCCACTTGAGCAGGATCTGCTAACCAAACGAGACTGTGGAGCAGGTGCCAAGCACGCACCCCATAATAATAGTTATCGAGAGTCTTCCCAGAATACATGCCTGCACAGCTGGCAATAAAGGCTAAAATCAGAAGGGAAGAGGCAGGACCACGCTGCTCTTCGGGAATCCCTTGCACATCACAGAAAACATGAAAAACCAGTAATCCCAAACCATATGTTTCCTTAGTCCCACTAGCCAACAAGTGACCAATGACAGTTAAGATACGGTTTAAGTCACCTTCGGACAGGGGAATATGCGCTCCAGAGTGGTCATATGGCACACGGCCCTGCAACGGCCGCCATAGTTGCAGTCGGTCTTTCGCAAGGCAATGAGGTCACAGAGATGATGGCAAGGGTATGAGCGAAGGATGGTATGGGCAAGGAGAAGTGTGAGCCACTAAAGTCAGCAAAACAGGTCCTGCAGAGCAAAAGCATGAGACCTCACTCATTCCAGCTGTCTCAGAAATGCCACAACTCCTCTCTGTAGATCTGGTGGGTTGACCGGTCATGTAGTGCATGAGGACAGTAGTTGCAGGAGACATCGTGGGAGACATGACCATCAATGCCATGGGAGGAATCAGTGGAGACATCAAGGAGGAAGGAGGAGAGTTCATGAGGAAGAACAATGGGGGGAAGGAGTAGAGCTGAGGAGGGGAACTGCCCATGAGAGGGACCATCTGCAGGATTGCTTGCGCTGGTGACATAAGAGATGTGGAAGGATGTCCCAGACCCAAGCGGCTTGAGCAATGAGAGGACTTGATAAAACACGCTGTTGGTTGCCCAATTTTGGCTCCGCCCATTCTTCCATCCATTGATGACTCCTTGGTTGTCGCAGTAAATATGGAAATGTCAACCAGAGGAGGGGATGCCAAGACAGAGGATGCAGTGGACAAGCAACTCAAATCCAACAGCCTCGGCCCACCCAATATCTTTTGCACCATTGAGGGTTTGCCATCCTGGCAATAGCGACCATGCACACCAAAACCCATTGATAACAACTGTGAGTCCAACACCTGAGCTGGCATCCGAATAGGCATGGGCATCGATGATGTGGAATGGATGGGGAATGAGGCAATGAAGGGATAGATTGGAGAGTTGGGCAGTCCACCAGGTGAGGTCATTGTGGAGGTGTTTGACAGAGTGATATGGCACAAAAGGACGCGAACTGGAGATGCTAAGCATGGCCTCCAATGACGTGAGGTAGGCTCGACCAGTGGGAACAATGAGGCAGGCATGCAATAACTTGCCATAGAGTTGTTGGACCTCCAGAAGGACATGAGTGGGATGTGCGCACCATGCGTCAATGGCTGCAAGGTACTTGAGCCTTTTTGCATCAGCAAGTGCCACGGTGAGACATGCGAGGCTCCACAGGAGCCCAATAAACAAAACTTCGCAACCAAATGGAGTATCTTTTGTCGGCTCCCAAGGAATGCCAAGCTCGGATGAGGCCTGGTCAATATCACTAATGGTACAAGAAAATTCCCCATCCTCACCCCATCTTGTCGAAGTGCGAGAGAAATCCACAATGGGAAACCTGCAGTCTTCCGCAAAGACCTCAAAGGACCCATCCTCAAAAGTGTCCCCTTCAAACCATAATTGACCACCTGTTTGATGGACCTTGCGCGTAGACAAAGTATTGAATAAAGAAAGACAATAACGGTTGTAACTAGGGAGATAGTGAGACTTGATGTGGAAGAATAAATGGTTGTCCACCCATTTGATGAGTGGTCCCAAACCCGCCGCTCGCAAAAGATCTGCACCAGCATCAGCAATATAACCATATGCCCCCGCTGATGGTCCCATCCCAAAAGATGTACAAGTGTCCACACAGTATGAATCTTCATCAACACGCACCACTGCAGCAGGCCATTGCGACGGCAGCAAAGGAATTGTTCAATGGGCTTCAGCCACATCTCGAGTTGCAGCTTGTGAACCTGGAGGTAAGTGACGAATGATTGAGCAAACAGTGTTGAACATCCCCCAAGTACATGGAAAGTCATCAGAGTCCACTGCAGAATTAATAGAAGGCTCGGGACAGTGCAGAGAAGGCAAGTAGGGGAATGAAAATTTTTGAATGACCCGAAATTTACCAGGTTTGCCTGGTTTGGGTATGATGGAGACTGGGGACGTCTGAAAAACTCCCAAAAGCGAAGACAAATGAGAACTGGTGAAAGGACCAATGTAACGACCAGTGTGGAGTTCGCGTTGTATGATATGCTCAAAGGCATCACAATATTGGTGAAGAGAGGTGTGATTGGGAGGTGACTGAGAGACGGTAATACAAGGGAGATGTAAGTCAAAGCCATGACGAAAACCATCCGGGATTTTGGAGTACTGGTCCAGCAGACCATTGGTGGCAAGCAAACGCTCCCAAGCAACAACATTATATGGACACACCGGATGTAAGCATCTGTTTTCAAGGGCACAACTGGGCTCCATGAGAGGCAGAAAGACATCCAGAACACAAGTGTCTGTCATTGTGAGCACGCGTTGTACAGCTTCGTCCCCTCTGCCAATCGACACAGAGGGGCTGGTTGGTGCCTCATACAAGCAACTGCTTGTTGACCTGCTTGCTGACAGCAGGATGGGAATTGTCGCAGATCCATTCAGCAGGACAGTCAATGAAGGAGTGATTGTTTCGCCCAAGACATACAGTGCACACAGCAGGTGGATGTGGTCCATGTGCGCCGCTGGAAAAACCCGAGGAGGCAGCAATGTGAGGAGTCTTGCTGTGAGCCAACGGTGACAAGGAATGACCTCTGTCTGCAGGAAAGGCCCGACAATCACTGGATGCTGTACCAGACAAAATACAGCCTTTCCTTGCACAGTTGGAAAGAGGGGAATCCACAGACACCTTAGGCTGTAAAGCTTGTTGGCGCTAAAAGGCAAGGCATGTGAGCAATGCTAACATTCACACGAAGACAAAACACAGAACGCAGAAGGCACAACGCAGAAGGCACATTGCAAGAACGCAACACAGAAGGCAACTCCATAATGCAAGACACAAAAGGCATAATGCAGAACGTAAAAGACACAAGTCGACGCAGAACCCCAAAAGCGAAAGTAGACAAACCTTTGAGTCAAATTCATGATCCATTCGGTCTCGATCCGGATGATAAAGGTGATCATAGGTTTTGTCTCACCATCAAGGATGGCAAGGTTCCAAGCATCAGAAGGGGTATGGCAATGTGCCATGCACGACATTGTTCTTCAGCATACATGAGAAGAGCTCATTGTTCGAGCTCATTGTCAGAAGTCCAATAGTTGTGTAACATAAGTGCGCCAAAGAAGTTGGCTAACATGAGAACACGTGAATTATCCCATCCGTGCTGTTCAAGCGAGGCGATGAAATGAGGAATCACGCAAGAGAAATTGAGGGGAGAGAAGATGATCTGCAATAACCCCGGCAGCAGGACGAGCGACACTGGCGGCAATCCAAGAGGTAGACCCACCCAAGGCAGTAGTAGGCACCATGCTGTCATCATCAGTAGCAAGAAAATTGAGTTTTGCATTGGCGAGACCCTTGTTGGTCCAATAGTACAACTCTACGAATTGAACTTTGTCGAGTTTGCATAGGGCAAAATCAGAGACGAGAACTGCCTCTGCAGCACGTTTCGGATGAGGACGGTCGGGAATGATAATGTGGTGGAGCTGATTCTTCTTCCGATCTTCTTCTGCAGTGGTGGCCTCCTGTAAAGCATGTGCAATAAGACATTGTGCGTTGGCTTCATCAACGAGGTGTTGCTGGTCAGCAGCCGCTAAGGCATCCTCATCCAACTGACGCTGCCACTGAGCTTTCAGTGTGGCATTGGTGGCGACCCATATGGTCTGGAGCATAACCGCAGCCTGTCCATCATCAGTAGTAGGGTTTAGGAGAGGCGTGCGGCTAGCTTGAAAACTTATGGATGTGAAATCCGGACAGTGTTCTAAGTTAGGGTCAGAGACTAATCTGTTCATAACAAGAAGACACCGTTGTTTTGAGAAAAGATAGATTGAGAGTGAGGATAGTTGATAAGTGAAGATTTTTGCCTAGTTGCTGGTAGCAAGGAAGAGAAAGGGTGGTCTTAACCTTACTCAGTCCCTACATAGATGTCGTTTTGTGCACGTGCTTGTGCCTCATACTTATATAAAACATGAACAATGAGCCCAGGTGACTAGCTTGTCTACAATCTCACAATGAACATCAATTTGCATTCAGTTCATTCGAGCAACAACTGACGGAATAAACCTTGGATAACATCCTCAGGCCTCAGGGCATGACCGATGAGATGATATCTTGGTTCAATCAGAACACATTGGAGTACGAGCTAGTGAAATCAGATGCATCTAATGTGACGATTATTGGACGATTTAATCCTTTCTTCATTCTATTCTTAGGGCTTGCCACAAGTAGGCAGTGCAACAAATATCATTGCCTCGAGGCTGTACTAATGATGACCTGTTGTTTTATATAGATGGTGTAGGACCTTCTCTCACTTCTCCACTAAATACTGATTCTGATTGTCAACTGCCATTCGCAATGAGGAAAAAAGGCAACCCATCGAGCATTTCAGCTCAAGAAACCCAGACATCTAACGAAGCAACAGCCAGTGGAGGCTCGGTATGTGCCTTACGAGGATCGTTTAGTCCACTTCACACTGACATTGACACATCCTTCGTCTAGCACCAACCCTGTGGCGTTCATCAGTTGCTGAAGACAGTGAAGGACACCTTGAGAGTGCTGGTGAGTCCATGAGCATGCATAATGAGTATCATGGAATCCGACTAATATTGCAACAAGTGCTCAAAGGATTCCCTTAACTGCAGCTCTGTTCCCCCGGATGTGGATCATCAACATGCTTCATCAACCCCAAATATCATTGAGGTAAGTTCTCCTCGATATTGCCCTTCAGTCTGTGTTTTTTTCTAAATTTTGATGGTCGTACTGGTTCAGGTTGCTTCATCTGGCATAGAAGTGGAAGATGATACCCAATCAGCACTTCAGGATGCTCAACAAGCTGCAGGGCACATACATTCACTTTCGGGATGTGTGATAACCGTGATGTCTGCTGCTCAAGACACACAAGCGGATCTCACTGCTGCTGATGGTTTCCAGGACACATATCTCAAACCCCTCAAAATATTCGATGATATTATAGGAAAGATTGTGAATGTATGTAAGCCCTGTTCTTGAATGGAACCAGATTAACCCCATTCCCCAGCTACATCCATACACAAAAATGGCATTGGGTGTGCTGTCCTGTGCAGCCAAAGTATGTTTTCTTTCTATCTTTTCCTATCTTACACTGCTCATCAATCATTTATGCAGATTATTATAGCTCAAGCGGATCGCGACGTAGCAGTACTCGAACTTCTCAAGAAGTTGGGTGAAGTTTACAGCTTCATAACACAAGATGAGATGCTTGGCCAAATTTCGTCGATGCACGCTATCCTTGGAAAGATTTCTCAGCAGGCTCGTGAATGTGCACATTTTATTAGTAATTATTCCAAGATTAGCAGTTTTTGTGAGTGTTACATGCTGTTGCACTCTGTATTGTCTCAAGCTTCTACCAGGGAAGAGACTCAAAAAAAACGTCATCTCGGAAACAACAGATACAATCGCAAAGTACAATGACATGTTGGATAGACTCATGCAAAACTTCCATGACCAGGTTGCTCGCGATGTAGCCATACACATTCATGAGATAGGCACACACATCCAAGACATAGCTATACATGTCCACCGCACCGGTAAGGGTTTGGAGCTCATCGTAACTTGACATATATTAAACCCTTTTCAGAGGAAATATTGGACCTCAGCGGAGTGACTTATGCAGATGGCGCGGGTTTGAATACCAGGAAACAATGCCTTCAAGGGACGTGCACGGAAATTCTTTCCCAGATCACGGAATGGGTCAACAGCACTGGGGACGACATTCCATGCATGCTGTGGCTATCTGGCCCTGCAGGCAAGGGCAAGTTGGCTATTGCTCACACCATCGCTAAATGGTTCGAAGACGTGGGTGGACTCGGTTCATGTTACGCTTTTGACCACCAGTGAGAAGCAGATCGTCGCCATGAAAAGATCTTTTCCACCATTGCATGAGACCTGGCTGACCGTGATCCGGAGATGAGGTGGGCTTTAGCAGATACAGTTCAAGCCGTGAGTTCGCTCAAGAAGACAGCCAATATCATCCAACAATGGCAGAAGCTTCTTATTGAACCATTGGGGAAGTCATCTGGGTCGACTGGGGAACCCATCGTGATCATGATTGATGCACTGGACGAGAGCAGTGTAGCAGAGACATGGAGAGACCTCTAGCAGGCAAACATCCAAACACCGCCGTTCCCAAAATCACAGACCTCCCACACAACTTCTGTTTCATCGTCACCTCTCGCCTGCTTGGTGACATCAAAGATGAGTTCTACAGTGTTCAGCATATCAAACACATGTCCATGGACAATATTCCAACAGCACTCGCAAAGCACGACATCCATGCTTACGTATCCAAGGAGTTGGAAGGGCTGACTTTCCAGGACAGACAGTTTGCAGTCCTCGCTGAGAAAGCTGATGGACTTTTTGAGTGGGTGCTTCTTGCCTGTGGGTACATCAGAGGATGCCATGTGGGGCTATCTCCAATTGATTGCTACGACACTGTGGTGTCACCCGATCCTTCTGAAAAAAGTGTGCTGTTGCACGCCATGTATCACCTCATTTTAAGGGATATCATGCCCAGGGATACAACCGCCGATGTCCAACCTTCACAGAAATCTTGTTTGAAGATGCTAGGGAGATTCCACTCAGTGATGGGACAAATATTAGGCACAGCTGAACCCCTTTCTTTAGCTTCCCTGAACACCATGAGGCACCATTTTCCAATGCGAGAGGATGTTTTCAACGTGGAGCTTGTGGTAAAATGCATGGGATCCCTACTCAGCGGCACCACCGACCCAGATTCCCCAATTCGACCCCTTCATGCATCCTTCCACAATTTCTTGATGGACCAACCATCCAGCGAAGAGTTTTTTGTTGACCTGTCAAAGGCACAACATGACCTTGCATTCGCATCACTTCGAGTAATGAAAAATGACCTTCGCTTTAATATCTGCAATTTAAAGTTGTCGTATCTGTCGAATTGCAAAGATGCCAGGCTGCAAGATTGGGTCCAAACATGCATTTCCCCACATCTGTCATATTCCTCTCAATTTTGGATTTCTCACATATGTGCCATGGTCTTCGATGAGGAGCTCGCAAAAGAAGTGAAATTATTTTTCGACCACGAGCAACTGTTTTTCTGGCTTGAGTTACTTGCGCTGATGAATGCGCTCAGCAGTGCAGTTCCTACCCTTGCACTCATTGGACAGTGGCTAAAGGTGAGTACATTGCTACTGAGTGCCAGCTAAAGCGCTCACGTACAACCACAGGGTCATTCTGAATTCAAGGAAGTCTCATTGACTGCAATAGATGTTACAGAGGTTCATTCAAGTCTTCAGGCGGTATCATTTTACACAGCACACCACATTTGCATGTCTCAGCCCTCCCATTCTTGCCTGCCAACTCTCCGCTATCAAGAGAGCTTTCAGGACGATTTCCGAATATTCTTTGTGTAGTATCTGGATGTGATATAAAGTGGCCGGTTGTTCAGAACATGCTGAGGGGGCATGCTTCTATTGTTACCTTGGTCTCGTTCTTGCCGGACGGCACTCGCATCGTCAGTGGTTCAAGGGATGAGACTGTTCGGCTGTGGGATGCAGGGATGGGAAAGCCGGTCAGTGAGCCCTTGTGGGGGCACACTTCAACAGTTACCTCGGTCTTGTTCTCACCAGACGGCATTTGCATTGTCACTGGTTCTTCAGATCTGACTGTTCAGCTGTGGGATGCAGGGATGGGAAAGCCAGTCGGTGAGCCCTTGCTGGGGCACACACAAGGAGTTACCTTGGTCTCGTTCTCGCTGAACAGCACTCGCATTGTCACTGGTTCTTGGGATCAGACTGCTCGGCTGTGGAATGCAGGGATGGGAAAGCCAGTCGGTGAGCCCTTGCGGGGGCACACTTCAAGAGTTACCTCGGTCTCGTTCTTGCCGGACAGCACTCGCATTGTCACTAGTTCTTGGGATCAGACTGTTCGGCTGTGGGATGCAGTGATCAAGCAGCCATCCCAACAGTGCGCCATACCAGATCCTTCAGCATTCTCAGATGAACATCGCATGATCAATGTCACCACTACCACGAAATCGCACACTGGGAACAATCACTTCATTTCCTTCTCATCTAACCCCATCCATGTGCTGCGCAACACTTCCGAGTTGATGGAGGAAGCATCCCATGACAACCGCAGTCCAACCGTTTTTTTCCTGGATTGTGACAGTGAATGGGTGGTAGGGCCTGAACATAGGCTGTTATTCTGGGTACCACCCGCTTCTCGGCACACATTTTATACTCCCGCAACCAAATTAGTGATACCCAGAGGGGGTCCTGAGCTTGATTTGAGCCGCATGGCACATGGACAACACTAGCAAAAGTGCCAAGAGGGGTGAGTCTCTTCAGCTCCTTTCAAGTCCTTGCATTTACTAAAATCAAACACTTGTAGATGTTAGTACCGATGATGCTCGCAGCAATAAATCCACTCTGATAAAATGTACATGTGACCGAGTGTACGGTGAATTATTATCTCATATTCTATTCTATATCCACTATCTAGTCTGAGTTCAGGGTTGTCCGAGTCATCAACTCATTGAAGAGCTCACTGTATGATTCTCATGATGTGCTGATATATGAGTGTGACAGCACATAATGACAGACAAGGCATGATGATCCCTTCAGAGATGCTGTTGCGCGTGCACAATGGATTATGTTCAAGTGTACATATTCATCGACGCTTCCTCATAGTGGACTGAGAATCTGAATAGAGAGATATCGTGTTTGTGAGCATATGCGGTCGTTGACATTTCCATCTCATCTAGCATATCCAAAGTGAGCTAACGATCTGAAGACCAGGATGTGATGAAATATGTGGTTGAATCATTATGTACATTATATAGTACAGTTTGGGACAGGCAAAATCGACAACTTTCATAGTGGACAAAGGAATTTTTTTGGCACAAAACAGCCTTCAGATATCGATTCTATGGGTTGAAAGACGTTTGAAAATGCCTTGAACTGAATTTTCCCACATGTTTTTTGGGTACAGCCAAATTTTTGGGGTAAATTTTTATTTGATAGACACTGGGAGCGCAAAAATAATAGTATGAATCTTAGTTAAGGACAGCCATAATTGAATCCATGGCAGTGTGAGACACCGAGCGGTGTTGTTTCTGCTTTCACACTGCCCAAGCTGCAGCTTCCCCAGTCAAACCCTTTTGGTAGGCACTCATAAAACGCCACGAGTGATTGATGAAACGATGAAAGACCTCTAACAGGCAAGCATCAAGAAAATGCTCGGCTGCTTTCTTGGCTTCACCAAAACTGTTCTTTGGTGTTTCTCGGTATCGATACTTGCACCAGCCCCAGTACTACCAACAAACTCAGCATATGAATCTACTTTTGACAGGCCACTCACCATTTCAATGGGATTCAACTCGCAATGGAACTTTGGTAAAAAGATACATAGGTGGCCTGTCTTCTTGATCATGGTCTCGAGCATTGACTCCTGGTTTGCAAAGTCGTCTTGCTGTGAAAGAAGACGAGCCATGCAACAACCCTTGCTCTCGAAAGGACAGACAGGTGAACATTTAGCTTTCAACCAGTTTGACATCAAATCCTCGCTCGGCAAGGACAGAGTGGAGACCTTTGGGGGTGCTGTCTTCATTTGTCATTTTCTGGACTTTGCCACGGACAGAAATATTGGAGTTGTTCATTGGTATCACCGTGTCGCGCTGCTTTCGTTGTTTGCCTCGATCTGATTTGTTCATTTCAAATGCTTTCAGTGAATCGGGAGGGAGGGAGGCATGAGCTGGTGACTGATCAAATACAAAAAGTGCCTGGCAGTCTGGGTGTGCGAGCGTGAATATATCAATTGCATTTTTGACCTGCTCAAGGAACTGGGCACTGTCCCACCAAGGATCACCATTTGACCCTGGATAGATAATTTTGCATGCATCTCAAACCAATTCACCGTCTTGACCTTGTAGAATAAGTCAGCCATCTTCTTCGTTGATGAAATCAGAAACATGGATTAGTCATCCTCAACCTTTCTTGCAAAGGGGCTGTTCACTAGACTGCAACCTTTGATTCAACATTGTAAGTTAATATGAGTATTCGAGCTGATGGGGTGTACATTACCATGCAGTATTGGATTGATCATTGGCATGAAAACAACATTCATCATGAAACTGTGCAATAATCCTTTTTTCTCCAGGCTTTAGATGTGGTTCAACCTTTTTCAACTCAGGCCCTTCATACTGAACCATCCGGGCCTCATACTGTGCCATCAGAGGTAAGAAGACCTCTCTGTGGTACTTCACTACATCGTCCCTCTCATGACTGTCCATGTACACCCCTTTTCGGACCATTGTGCACCTCCACCCAAGCTTGAGAAGCCAGTGTCGAGCTGTGTGCACACTAAGTGGCTGCTTTGGGTGAATGCCAAGGTCTGGAAAAATTGCCGAAGTGAGGGCATGCTGCAGCTTCTTTGGAGTGATGCTGCCAACCTTCTGTGCAGTCAACCAAGATTGGGTGCGTGCCTGTACAGCTTCATCATGAAGCCAAGAGTGGGCATTAGCCTTGCCACCTCACTTCTCCATGGACAGCTATGCAAATATCTGGTAATGCTGAACAAGTGCTCACACTTTCCATGCGAAGTGAATTCCTTCGCCTTCATGCCATTGCCAAGCAATCTCAATGCTAGCTTGTATCCATGAGCATCCCTTGATGCATAGAGTTGCAAAATTTGAGAGTATGGTGAGTTTATTGATGTGCGCCAGTGATAAGCTCTTGCTGTTCTTCTTTAGGTCTGATTTGATGTTTTCGCGCATCTTGCTCCAATCATGAAATTTCATTATGACCCCTCTTGCTGAAAGCATCAGCTCGTCTTCCCAAGTTTCATCATCAACATCTTCCACCTCCTCAGCTGCTGACTCATCCAAGTCCATAATCTCTGTGGGCTCCGGTTCATCTGATGATGCCTGATCCAATAGAACAGATGCCAAGCGGGTACGTGGGATCGTTGATGAACTTGAATACTGCTGCCATTCTGGTTGCAGCATGGATAATGTTGTTTGGCGTACTGGCACAGCCACCATGGGCAACACATGTCTGGCTATGTTTGCTGGTCCTGCCATTGCATCTCGGTCAGGTGCCAGGGTTGACTTGTTGAAAAACCTTGTTAGTTGAGGTTGGTTTCACAAGTTCTTCTTGTGCCTTCGAACAGTTCTCTCTGATTGACTTGTAAAGGAATTGGCATAAGTCCTGGGTCTCGCTGCTGGAAAGGTAAGCAAGACTTTCTTTGAATTGTAACTAGTTAACTCACCCGTCTTTGATTTTGCATGAATTTCCACCTTCTTTTGGAGACGTTCTGGGAGCCAGTCTGGGTCTTGGAGCTTGTTGTCCATCTCTGACATTACAGCCAACAACCATTCATCATTGAGTTCTTCCCACTCATCCTGGTCATCCATGTCTGATCCTGTCTCCAAGTCTGATGTGTCAAGCTCGGCAAAATCTGTTTTCAAACTATCGAAGAATAAGTGCAGAGGGGGCTCTTCGTCAACATATTCTTCGGGACTTGGTGCACAGAACCTGGGCTTCAAGGCATTGACTTGGACTTCGTGTTCAGAATTGTCTTGGTTCAACAACTGAGTATTTCGCCTGGGTCTTTTCGAGTGTGCCATGAGCAGACTAAGATGGGTGAGTAGTGCAACTTTATTAATTTTTTTGGGGACCAAACTCTAGATATTCCTCATTTTTGACCCCAGGGTCAGACTCAGGCTTGAAAATGGAGTCGATTGCACTATTTTTCGAGATTTTAGGCACTAGTTTGAGGTACCGGCCAAATTTTGGGGTCTGAGTGACCACAACATCGTGATTGGCAGCTTGAATCGTACTTTGTACATCTGTAAATAGTCTAATTATGCTTAGCATGTCGTTATACAGGTGTTTCAGAAGGCTGTGGAAAGGTTAACCATACTTGTCGATTTTGCTTGTCCCCAACTGTAGATTCACATGTAATTGCGATATCCACGACGAAGGCGATGAGAATGAAAATACCACGAAAACGATGCGTGTAAGGATAATGTGAGAGCGAACGGATGGCGAAGTTGAGGAAATAAGATTAGTAGGAACCAAAATGAAAGGTTCTGGCCTGATGACATTGAGTGGAGGGTGATGTTGGATGCAGGTGCACCGTGGTGTCACAATGGACGTCCTTAATCAGTGAGGTCTTCAACAGTCGGTTTCTGGAGACTCAAGAGAGCCTAAAGAGTGCTATTAAGCTGCATTGAACTCGTAATAAATGAGTGGTGATATTTGAATCTTTGCATGAGGCTAGGGGAAGCAGACTGTGGCTCACGAGGAGTGGAGAAGACGTTCAAGTTCATCATACAGTTACTGCGGGTGTCTCCAATACATACAGGCCCGGAGTCCTTGGTCGCAAATCGTAGTTGTTGGGCGGTGCATATAGTCGATTTTCGTCGCCCGCTTTATCCTCAGGTTCTCCTATGCAAAAACACAGGAGAGTTTGGTGCAGCAATGTCCTCATGTTCGCTCCAGATATGTGTTGATGTGGGAGTGATCGTTTCTGGAGGAGATAATATGGGAACTTGATGTCTGCGAAGTTTGACGCATCGTATTTTGGGAGGAACTGACGACGTTGAGGAGTAAGAGGGTGCAGTGGCGACGTAGAAAGGGTCCACGAGGTTGATTGTGAGTGTATCGCGTTCGGTGGGTGCTACGAGAATAGTTGAAATTAGGGATGTTAGCAAAGCATTTTGGGTTATTAGTGTAGTTGATACGCTTGAAAGATGATAGCATAGAGTGTCCTAGTGCTCTATAGTCAGTTTCCTTTGGTAAGGACACAGGCTGCCGTGGAACCTACTAGTAGTTCATGATGACTTTAACAGGTGGTCGAGCCTTTGCTTTTGCTGGCATCAGACAGCCTTGTGACTCGAAAGCTAGAATGCGATTTGGCGATGCGATGAACAAAAGTCACACGGACATGTGAATTCGAAGCCGCAATTGCAAGCGACCAAAGGTGTTTGAATCTTAGTGTTGTGGGCAGAATGGCAGAGTTCTGCCAACGACTTTGGCAATACCGTATCACTGTTGACGCTTGCTCGGCGTTCCCTCCACGTCCAAGGCCGGATCACCAATAGCGCGCAGGCGGACAAATTGAACACTGAAACCTCGTATGTCTTGGAGAGCTGTGCGATCGAGAACCATCGCCGTGAGGTCGCTTTTGCTGTTGCTACCGGATATGATGCATGGTGGAGGCTATTGGACATCACCCTTACCAAGTGCTTCCAGCGTCTGCCGCACGACAGGCGCGAAAATATGCTCTTTGACTTATTGCACGTTTTACCCACTGCAATTCGTTCCTCTGACATCCAGGAACCTACCGCAGTTCTGCTCTCGGAAGCAGTATTGTCTTGCATCACGAAGCTGCGCGAAGATCGACGTCATCAAGTTATGCTACAATCTGCCGGCGGGGACACTGACGCAGGCTCTTTGCCTGCAGAGAGACTGTTTGCGCTTCTTCGCAGCATCCTTGACTGCATCCTGGATAACAACCGTTCCGAGTTGGTCCGTGGCAACCTATACGCTTCTTTGATCAATTACTTCCACCTTATTGGAGGGAGTGACCAGAGGCCTTCGGGAGAAACGTCATTGGAGACGTTCGGGAAGCACTCGATGTCGATGTCAATGTCCCTCTCCATTCTCTCCTCGCGCGATGATTTATCCCTAAATGATTCTCGATCCATGCGCGGATCGCCAAGGCCTGCGACAAATGCATCTGCGCTAGAGCTTGGTACGCTGGGTGCGTTAAAAAGCGTGCTCGAGAGACTGGTCACGATCATATCCCAGGACGCAATTGATGGCACTGAAGTTTGGAAGACTGTCGCTTTCATGCTGTTGGACTCCCTCGCTCAGCTGTGCCGCTCGGATAAGTCCCGCATGTTTCTTACGTCTTTGGTTCGCTACGGGATTTTGTCGAACTTTGTCCAAGGGCTGAAGGAAGCGGAGCCGCAAATACAGTACGTGCTCAAACCAGATCCAGGTGCGTGCGCAGTCAAATTGTATCGCGAGGAAACTGAAGTGATAACGTAGACGATCTAAATCCTCTATATGTTTACGAGTCAAAGATGTCCTTCTTGATACGGATGGCACAAACGAGGCTGGGTGCGGAATGGTTACTTGAAGCTCGAATTTTCCCGGTCCTGAGTCAATGCGAGTTCTTGGATACGAGACCAGAAGCTGATCAGTCGTTTATGGGTGTGTGGGTTTTCTCACTCAGAGGGTTCTATGTTCTAAGTTTGTTTTGTGAAGACCAAGACTCTTTCTTGCCTTCGGCGATTCAGCGATACCACCAGCTATTCATGCCGGCACTTCAGCTCGTTGCTGCGATGTTGACGACGCTAGGAGTTCAGCATGCTACTGCGAGCAGCCAGGTGCGACTGATTCCAGACTTTTATTAGTGGATGCGCATTGACTTTGACTTGGCATCAGGCATTTGACTTATTAAGCCATCGAGAAACTATCATCATTCTTCTCAAAAATGATTCTGAAGAGATTGGCTTGTCGATCGTATAGGAAATCCACCTCGTAGTGTCGCTTAGCAGAATTCAAGCCTCCTGACGCTCGTTCCAAAACTTGAGCTGGTAAGCCACCGTTCATATGTAGGCTCTACCACTTATGATTTATGTTCTAGATGTCAACGAATTCTGGGTTCAGTGGTATTCATGGTGCTGTGTTAGGCCTTGCTGCGCGGTGCCTGGGAAACAGAAGCTGGAGTCAAGCGGTCAAACCTCAGACGGACGCTGAGGTTTTGCGAGCTAGCCTTTTTGCATCCGAGCATGGATCGACTACTCAATTTGATCCGAGTTTGAGGCGCCAAGAACGGTTGCTACTCAAGGCTCTCGTGGAGTATCTAGACATCGCGCAGAAGAGGTCATTGATATTCAGAGAGTACGAGAGGTTCAGGAACGAGGCTCAAGATGAAGTTAAAAACATGCTCGGTGAGAATTGTCTTGGAACGCTGTCGCTGAGTGATATTAACTAGTGCATATACAGGTACTACTGAGATGGTATCACTATTGCTGTGGCGCCATCTCGTGAGCTATGTGGAGTGTGACTTGTTGAGCAGCGAAATCTCGGCGCCAACTATAAATATGAAGAGCATCCTCAGGCTTCTTCCACCTCCGGACTTTGATTCGTTCAAGGCCAACGCTGGTAAACGATTGATTGGTGCTCTCGCGAGGTTGTCAACATTGGATCTAGTACGTTCGTTAGCTTGAGCTAGCCTGACTTTTGATGATGTGCCCGACAGACGGTAGATACGCTGGGAAGTGAGTGGCAATCATACCAAGGATATATTGAGATTATGTCACGGAGGTTGAGGGATACGGTTTGGTTGCATGAGGCTCTCGAATAGATGGTTCGTCGTCGTCGTCGTTTGTTGTTTCCAAAAGTACCGCACTGCGCTTATGATGGATTGATCGACGTCGTTGGAATGAATAATGAGCAAGCACTAGATCTAGATATCGTGTGTGAGGATACGATCGTGTTGGTTCATTACTGTTACTTAGAAAGGTAGCAGGCTTCCTGCTCCCCGAAGAGCGATTTGTCCACCAAAGCGCAATGTCTGTGTACCTCCTGGGAAGTACGCCAGGACATACGCTACTAGAAATACTACCTGGACCACACCTGCTAATAGCGAACCTAAGTACGAGTGGACCTAATAGGGGTCGTTGAAACGGACCCTTGTGGTGATGAAAGAATACAAACTCGCGCTGATAGAGAAATAGAGGGGCAAGCCCAAACTTGAGAAGTAGACGAGGGTGAATGGCACACGTTCTTTGGAAATCAAATATTTTACGTGGTTTAATGGTCCTATGAGGACTGAAAAACTTGAATATGGTAGTCAGCGATGATCATTCGGATCGACACGGAGTGGTATGACATACCCGAACATCACGAGCAAGCTTCCCAGACTGCGAGGGAGTTATCAATCGGAAGGTGTAGAACGAGAGAAAAACTACGCATACCTGAATGCCAAAGCAAATTTTGCGGGATTGATGGCGAGGAAAGGGAGGGTCATGAAAGCGACGAAGAAGCGGACTGCTACGCCTAACAAGCATGCACCGAACCCGAGCAGCCTGGAGATTGGAGTCTGTGCTGAGAAGACTGGTATGGCAAGAGTGACTTCTAAACGCGTACCTCTCCCAACGTGACAGCGCAAACCATGCTTCGTGTTCGTTGGAACGTTCGCTGGATCTGAGAGGGATATAGTCGCCTGCTACAGCGTTGTAGAAGCGGGAGAATGGGTTTGATGATGGCAGTGGTTGCTGTGTTTGTTGAGAGTCGTCTGTGACGCCTCTGTCCCAGCGGAATTGAGATAGATTGGCTCTGAAGCTTTGTTCTGAGGATGGAGGCATGGTAGTGTTTACAGGAAAAGGGTACTATTAGATGTGAAACGTGCCTGTCACCAAGTTGGGATGTGTCATGCCTGCGCCTACTCCTCCAGTCTTCCGCATCACATGGCTCGTTACGCAGCGATGCTCGACTAATATCACTTAAGTCTGCACAGTACCGGGGATTTGAGTCGGCAGCCCGAGGAGCATGTCGCACAGCACACCTCGGGAATGTCTGCCAGCTGCTTGGGGAAAGCCCACTCTTGGTTTGATAAATAAAGCTCGTCATGGAGTTCTTTCCTTTCGAACACCCATTTCTCGATTGCCTATGGTTATTGAATACATACTCCGATACTAGTACTGTCACCAAATTAAGTACTCACCTCACGAAGCGTAAGATCATGGCATGAGTGTAGCTGAAGATGCCTTGACATTACCAAAGGCTTCTTGGGCAATCGTACGAAACTGCATCAGTCGCTGAGGGGATGATGCTATTTTCTCCATCACGTCCGAGTCAGTGTTCTACTAATAATTTAAATTTAGTCTGTCCATGTAATGAAATACGAAGTCATGTGATTCTTTATTTTTCTTATTCGTCAATTGACCCCTATATAAAATTTCACTGTCTCACTGTAACCATCATCATGCTTGGGCTCATCATGAAGACGGATACTCTCCCCAGACCTCTCAAACAAACTCTGCCATTAGAAAGTTCTAACTTACTCTGCTCAAACATCTCAAAATTTATGCCATCGTTGCTCTCGCCGTTGAATCTCACAAGACTCAGCCATGTGTTGAGACCCCTCATCTTCATCCTCTTTCGCCTATGCTGTTTCATCATGCTGTTCCGACCAATACTCAATCATATCTTATTGCACAAGCTCGGACAAGTATTTAAATGGGCGCTGTTTTTCAATTCGCCTCAATACCTCATGGCCCTGTTCAAAATCCTCATGCTGGCGCTCGTGACCGTTGTCATGTACAATCCCGGTGCTACAGTAAAATCCATCGCTTTTATATATACTTTTTCGATTGTGATTATGCGACTGATTTTGCGTCTTATCTTTCGTGCAGGTTTGTTGACGTTCAAGCTCATCGTCCTGCTTGCACGAATCGCGTGGCACATTTGTCTACGGAGATTGGAAAATATATGGCAGAAGTTGTATCATATTAGACGTCCGTGGAAGACTGGTGTATTCTCGATAGAACGTGTCTAGATAAAAGTGTACAAAAACGATTTATTCGCGTTCCATGTTTTAGATTGTTCAAGGATTCACTGCCTATGAAAATAAAGCTGTCAGTCAGTCAAGGTTTAGACACAGCGCAGGCATACATGCGCTGCCAAAATGCCAACAGTATGCATTGGCTACCGTGGTCAAGGTTGTTTGTTTCCCCATTGACGAGTATACTGCCATTGCCCTCCATGACATCCAGCGAAAGATGCAAAATAGGCCGACGGAGTGCAAAGCAACCAGCGAGCGCAAGGCTGGATCCTCAATGTTACACGAGGAACTTTTGAGACGCCGGCAGGTGACGGTGTAGGTTAATGCAGTGCTCCGTGATCAAGTACTCGTCCTGTCTTCAATAACTCATCAAGGAATTCGCGCTAATAATCAGACACATTCTGCAATGTGCTGCTATGAGTTTATGGTGCTTATCAGATCTCAACATGTCATCAGGTGCCAAATTCGCTAAGAAGCAAAGGAGACGGCGAAATTTTAGTTACCGCATGATGGCTCGGGTCGTGATGTCGGGTCGTGATACTCATCACCCAGCTTTTTACGCGGGCGAGTTCTCAGATCTCAGGCGCTGATTCGGCGAAGGGAGTTAGGCGAATTGTCTTCGAACCATGTGCTGTATTCCTGATAAGTGCAACGGGTTCAACTATGTACCCTTTCCCCAAGAGTGGCAGGTGTTGACTGATCGGATGGAACAACAAGACAATAATAAGATATCATCTTTCTAGCTGTGTTTGTTCCAAAGCACGACACTCTCAGGATGATGTTGCCGATGCAATCCGCGTAAGTTGGACCTTGTGTAAACTCTGTTATCACATAAATTAAATGATAAGGAAGTCACTTATCACTCATAGTCATTCGCAGCATCAATTCGAGAAGCAGGCTTGGCATTTATGAGATTTCATATTGACAAGGCCCGACCATGACCACGCGACAATGCATGCAATGCTCTTGAAGGCGTAGAGCATCGGCGGGAGGCATCGTCCTTTTCAGGGAATCTGAATGAACCTTCACGTATCCCTTCCTATCGGATGGGTCACAAGAATCTTAACAGCATGTAAAGCACACCACCGGGATGGAACGAGAGACGCACAAGAGCTCAACAATTGCCACAAAACCAGAGACGCATTCTTCACGATACCTGATCAGTTCATATTACCACGTACATCAAAGAACTTTGGCAACCTTTAGCAGCCTAACCTCGAAAGCGGGGTACAATCTCGCTAGTTGACTATCCCTCTCACCGGGAAAATGAGAATCACCCGACGTTTCGAATGCAGCTGTATATTCCAACGCAGTCAATCATGAGTGCTTTGACAGAATTAAACAGCAGAATTTGATGACATTTATGATCCCATTCTCGCCCGAACCCTAGGCATGCTATGCGATGACCGCGGATAAGGAAGGGATCGAGAGATGAATCGATTCTAAACCAAAGCGAGCAGAAGCGTCAAAACTTGGTCACGAGTGGAACAAGGGAAAACCTAGCATCTACCTTGTAAACGTGAGCAAATACAATCCACCGTAAACTGGCAAAGAAAAGGTGAGTATCAATGTTTCAGAAAGAAGTCGCAAAGATAGTCAGATGATAATGACCTAGTAAACATCATCAGTTACTTGATCAGGGCAGTGAAAGACTATGACAAGCCTTTCGAAAAGCACTGCGAGTCTGCTATGGTGGAAGACAGTATGATTTTCGAACGATCCGATATATACGACATTACGGTTGACGCGCCATGTTCGGGATGTCTGCAACTTTGCTAGCGCTGCATTAACAGCGGGATAAGGCGCGACGGTTATGATATGTATCCTCCAGATCCTCCTCAGCGTAGGGTTCTTGCCGGTCATAAGTCATTCGGAAGATTTTGGGCGACGGCGATGTCCTTCCTGAAGCTTGAAAGGGTTTGGACTTTTGAACCTGCAGATTTGACGAGTTTTTTCGTAGTGTAACATTGACAACCCCTGGCAGGTTGGACATCAGTACGAGCCTTGCTTTACCGGGAGAGGTCGATCTCAACAATCTACCTTTCAGTCCAAATATCCCATCTTTGATGACATCCACACTTCAAATCTACACATGACATATCCAAGCTCACAACTCCTCGCTCTCGTTGTTTGTGTGTCGGCAGACATTATTGACGCGCCACCAGCGATGTGCCTGTTGTTTTCTGATTGAAAACGCAGTATAAATAGCATTGCCCACAGCCTGGCACGTGTTTCACGTTCATAACCTGTTCCGTGTCCCTGGTGTGCTAGTTCATCTCCCCTGAGTTAAATTCGTCGACCATACCTAAGAAGAGGGCACTTACTGGTGTCCACAGCAGGGGCGGGTGCAAAATGTAAGGTCTCGAAGTCAGAAAGTTGAGAGCAGTGAAACGATGTGAGGCAATCAGGGATAACGCAACGAGATGTGATTAACAATGAGCCAATAATACGAACGAACAAGCATGCATGCAGGAAATGGGCATCACAATATGATTATAATAAGCCTAGATGATCACCGCTCGACTATGAATCCTGATACTCTTCCGTGCGCTGGGAACTTTTCCAGTCATTACCATATGAGTTTTTGCGACGAGGACCACTCTCTCTCTGGTTAAATCTCCGTCTTTGTCCCTCCCGGTTACTCCTAACGTCAGGAGCAGAATCGAGACGAGAAGGTTTTGCATATTGGATGGTCATCTGCCTGCCCGTTGAAGGGTCCTTTGGATCTTTTAGGGCCTCAAGCGCCTCTGTAGCGCTCTCGGCACTCTCGAATTCAACAAACCCACTTCCCCTTGATTCGCCGGTGATTCTGTCCCTCACTAGACCCAAGCCCAAAGTCAGACGCTATCACAATCCAATAAGTCAAAGCGCACGTACATAATCTCACACCCGCGATCGAATGTTGAAAGTTGCTGAACATTTCGCGCAAGTCGTCCTCCAGTCCGCCAAACGGACGGATGTAGAGCGTATGGTAAGGTTCACGCACAGGCTCCTTGTGGACCGCAGCGTGGTCAAGGTGGATGTCGCGGTTCATGATATAGATTGGGTCCTCCTCATCCGCCTTGATAACCTTGCTGGCATCATCCACATTGGAAAATTCAATGTGTCCAAACCCGCGGTTGAGCCCTTCTGGTGTGGTGCCTACATCGCATGCCTAGTCAGCACCTCGTGACACTTCAATGCAGCACAGAAAACATACCCAAAGATACACGCACAATCTCTCCGAACTCTGCAAAAGACTGTCGCAGTTCTTCTTCGGTGATAGAGTATGGGAGGTTTCCGATGTAAAGTGTTCCCGAAGGCGGAACGCTTCTCCGAAAGCCCCTTGGCTTCGAGTTTTGGTCGCCAAACCGTGACCCGTCATCACGCAACGCTGACGACGTTGACAATGCCCTCTGCCACTGCGATGGCATCGACAGTTTTCCGGAGTTGGCATGGCGTAACAGAGCCAACGAAAAAGGCGACGCACGGGCCCGGAGAGATACAGACAATGTCCTTGACTGAGCTAAAAGGGCTTTGGAGAACATGGCAGAATGAAGGAGGACAACAAATTTCATGTACGGAATTCAAATTAGCTCAAATAGAAAATAACTTGGTCACATTGTCACGCGACGCGTACCGTTACACGTGACAATGAGCCGATGCATGCATGCACTGACTGACGGTAAATTCTTCCACATATCGCGACGTGTTTTGCATATAACATCTTGTGTATTGGTCATCATGTTACTTCGGAAAACAAATACGACAGCCACACGACAGAAATCAAAGAACAGAACTACTACTATGTGCACAAGATGATCCCCCTATTGCACCAATGTCCTAGATCATGGTGTATGTACAAGGCGCACTCTTATAGACGCTTCAACGCTTTCTTGCGTTTCTCTGTCCCTGAACTAGCTGAGGCTGCGGATCGTTTGATAGCTTTGGTTGTAGCAGTAGCAGCTGGGCCCGCAACATTGGAATTTGCGGTCCCAAGCGGTGATAAGCGCTCCTTGCCATCTTTGCTGGACGCAGTACTCGTAGAGAGCGATGAGGCCAATGTGTTCGCTGGTGATGTTTGAAGAGGTTGCGATGGCGTAGGAGATGATTTGTGTGTGTGTGGTGATGATGCAGATGTTGGGACAGGGAGCGTGATACGTGGCGGTGGTGGCACCACAGCCGGTGTTGGAATCGAAACCGGTATCGACGTCGTGGACGACTCTGCCTCTTCCTCAGTGGATGGTGTCTGAAATTCGGAAGGTCGTATGCGAGGAGTGGCGTGCACACTTGTTATAAGCTTCGCGCGGGAACAGTACGCGTCGTAGTCCTCTAGGAGGAGCTTCCCTGCTTCCTCGTCGAGGGCACTTTCGGGATTGGGATAAATGAGAAGGCATTTGATTGTCACGAGAATATGTCCGATGCCATATGAGGGTTGCCAGTCCTTCTTCAACGTGTTCACACAAATCTCTCCCACGGAAGAGACATTTGGGTGGAAAATCTTGGTTGCAAACCAGCCTATGCCGATGGAAGTTGATAAATGTGATCAGATAACCAATGATGACGCGTACATTTTGGAGGTGCAGCGGGGAATTCGTGTGTAAATTGGAATCGCACCCTGAAGTACCCGCCCGCGTATGGTGTTTGCTCTGTGGTATAAGGTAACTTGATCTATGGACGCGTATCTCAGTATGCAGTGACTCACCTGGTCCCTCAACGATTCCTGTGAGGTCAAGCATATTCTCCTCACTTGTAACGACGCGAATGCCTTCCGGAGGGCTGTTCTTCAACTCTGTGATCTCGCGCATCAGACGGCGCATGGTTGCGGGTGTTAGAGACTGTAAGCCAATAAAATTAAAGGTAAAGTTGCATCCGGCAGGAAGTGTAACAAACGCACCATGGCAAAGTAAAGTGTTGAATAGAATTCAGATGAAATGCGGCTGACCTGAGAGGCTGAGAATGGTTCGAAAAGAAGGAGCAAGTGATGACAAATTCACACTCCGAAAAGCATAACCCTAACCCTAATCTAGGGCAAGAGCAGAGCTGACTCGTTGCAGTAAGACGTCGTGAGCGCATGGTCTGCCAACCGATTGCATGGACTACAGGTTGCAGTAGCTCAATAAAAACTCTGTTGAAATAAAAACAAACTTTGAAGGAGTTATGATTACGTTCACGTGACTACTTCACTACTTCTCGCCTGGCAGCCTTCGTACTTATGTAATTCCATTTTCTTCGACTCGGATATGATGATACCTAGAGGCTACATGCGGACCTTTATCTCCTGGTTGAGGCTTATCATCAGAACTATCGCATTTCAGTCATATCCGAGTATCTTCTCTGTCCTTCGGCGAGTGTTTCGATGCTGTCAAGCCATCATTGGTGGAAATGAGAGAATATTTCGAGAACCAGATTTAGCGTTGGGTTCTCAACCGGCACCCATCAATCAAAAGACACCAGCTTCTGTGACACTCGCTGTACCATCGTTTGTACCTCCACCTCAGCAAAGCGACGGGCGCACTGGCGTGGCCTCCAGTATCCAGTCCCTGGATTCTTGTGCGCAATCGATTATTCCTATGCCCAAGCCCAGCATCACCACGAGTACCGCTATGCCCCCGCACAATGTGGCGCCGATACATAGTGTCACTCTAATTCCTGCCACACCCGGACAAATTAAGCGATATGATAGGATAGGATTGAATTGTATGCACATCATGTTTTTCGAGTTATTCGCCTCTCTAATCCATAGCTACAGTCAAGGTGATTGTGCTGTGTACGAAGTTCCGAAAGGTCCTTTAGACTGTTCAGAGTAAGCATGCTTGTGAGAGAGTGAACAATAAGATTGAAAGGGACTGGTAGGGAACTTGCTTTGGTGTCCGGGTGGGAACCGCTCACCCATCCGGAAGGCGCTTTGTTTTTCTATCACTCGTATAAAGTATGTTTACGATCCACCTCTGCGTGACTTTGATTCATATTTCCCATCAGAGAGTTTTTACTGATGCTGATATTCGAGCACCTGGAATGGTGGCCAACATAGGTGAGGCTGTCGAGAGGGCGTACAATGAAGTAAAAAGCGCAGGCATCAAACTCCATTCATCCGTCGAGTTAGTATTGGAGCTCATGAAGGGGCATCACGAAGAATGGGGCTATTACTTTGCCGATCACGACAGACGTATCATTTTGTGGTTCGAAGCTCACAAACCCAGTGATCTCATTGGTAACGTCCGAGGCGTGAAGTGCGGTGATCATATCAGTGAGTCTTTTCTGGGAACTATCTTCCATTCAAGCTTCTTTCATTGCGCCGCTCCCAGGATACGCACTAGAATCACAGTACTGGTTCGTGCGGCCTGAGTATGCATATTTTCTCACTTGACCGAAGTCGATGCGCTGAAACTTTGTGATAGCCTATTTTGACCTTGTGGTAATCATCATGATTTTGACAGGCTACATGTCGAACTATATCCAAACAAGCGACCCCTTCCAAAAGTTGTTGTTATGAGACTCAGAGAAATTGTTATGTATACCCAGGCAGGTGGGTAAAGATTCACAGATGTTTCACGCTATGCTGGAAAGCTCGTAACAGACAATGTCACCTCTGACACATCCTTGACACCTTTTTCTTCGGAAGAGGTTGCAAGCATGCTCAGCCTTATGGATCCTCTCATGGGTAAGGTATTCCCTGATGTGGGTGGTCGTTGTTGATGGGTTTTTAGACAGTGCTGGCATTGAGTATCCGCATGAGCATTCTGTATGGATTGTTGGTAAGCAATGAGCATATAGAAGCCCGGTTGTTTACCTTACATCTTTACAACTTTCAGCTCGATTTATGGGAGAATTCTGTGAGCTCTAGCTGATTGGAAGTGCATCACGCCTCCTGATCACTTTCGTAGGCAACGTCAAATTTGTGAATTTCTGTGGACAACCGGGTGCCCGGCTTAACGCGGACCAGTCTCTGTACAGAGATACCAACACCCACTCAAACAATATCCTTCTTCGCGTCATGAATTTTATACTGTTTGGATCCCCTAACGCTTACAACAAGGTTCTTCAAAAGATCTGGGTCGATTCTACCATCGTTCAGCCGCGATGGAAGAATTTTATCAACAGACTCAACAATGAGTGGAATGGATACACGATATTTGTGAGTTGTACTTCTGCTTCATATTGGCAACGTAATCGAGGTCTATCTTAGTCTACTGTGATGCTTGCTGTGGATATCAGCTTTCTCACGATATCATCTGTCGAGACTCAAAAGGCTGCGACTCTCGTCTCCTATATGTCTACTCTCTGTGTATTGGGTTCATTAGTGGTCTCGCTAGTCTTAGCTGGACAAGTTAACGACAGCCGGCGAGACTCCGCTAAAAGCGTGGTAAGTTCTCTTTTGATTGTTTGATCTCCATTCTTTACATTCAGGCCTCGTTTATGGAAGGGATATCGGCTTCTGTGCTCGGCCTCGAAGGCCTTGCTCTCATGCTATGTCTCCCATTCGCTCTTCTGATTTGGGGGTGCGTTTCCAGTCAAACTATAGGGCGGTAGCGACTCATTATTTGACAGAATGACATTCTTTGCTGCAGCATTATCCATCGTGATTTTCAACACTTCTGGCGTCATCACCATCTCAATTATATCTCCCATCTGGGTCGCTATCTTGATTCTATCCACATGGCCGGTACTGGCTTCCAATGATGTGCACATTTCTGACCTGCCCTCCTGGATCGCGAAACAGATCAAATCACATTGTATACCGTCGTGGAGCGCCACCGGGGCTTCCATTGAATCTGACGTGTAGTTTGTCGTGGTTTCAGGGATTGCGTAACGTGTACGGATCCATCTCTTTAGTGGTTTCATGTACTACCTGCCTTGTTGACGTCATTTATATGTGTATCGTTGTATGGCATTGCTCGACTCTTTAACTAGGAAACCCCAAGGCATTGGAGCAGCGAACCTGGTAAAATATTGGAAGGAAAGTTTGTGTGATGGCAAGTGGGAAGCTATGATTCCACCAAGTGTGGGCTCGAGCCCCTTTGTCTACACTCTATTCACTGTCTTGAGACTTTGCGCTCTCGCACTCGCGTCCAAGAGGGCGCAGGTCTATACTCTGGTTCCCCGACCCAGTCGAGGAAAAAGGCGAGGTGTTGCCTGGTGCATCTTTTTTATGATATTGATGGAAGTGGTTTTAATTTGATGTGTAGAAGAATCGAAGTTCGGAGGGCGATCAAGCCTCGCCGATAACAACTATAGTGGAGGTGAATAAATTTCAAATTCAAGGCCGAACATTTCCGCACGTTTGAACGATAAGCATCCTGGCGATATTTAAACATGGCATATATATCTACATGTTGTAACAACGGAGTATATGTTATATGTATAATAAAACAGCGCATGGTACGGGCGGTTGACGCAAGAGTACTGATGTACAAGAAATTATATGTCTAATAGCGAATGCAGCGAGAGAGGAGAGAATAGGTACTTGCATGAATGACGGGGATTGTACACTAATGAGCATAATCAGGATTTTCAGCGGACATACAGGAAACAAAAACTGAGTCCAGAAATTCAGAATGCAGCATGTTACAGCTGCGGAAGGTGACATGAGATTGCACTGGTGGGGATGCTACAGCAGTAACCGTTGATGTGGAAGAAGGTAGGAGATCGCATAAGTGGAAGATGGCGCTAAAGTAGCACACACAGGATGCACGTTGGATTAGATATACCATGTGCATCGGGTAACGGCTTGTCACTTTTTTTTTCAAATTGTAAGGATGAGCGCAAAAGTAGGGAAAACGTGAGGACTCTTTCAACTCACAATTAAATCTATTCGTTTTGGCCAGCATCTTCTTGAAGGAGAGCAGACACATCTGATGTATACGTGTTGTGATCATAGCAACCAGTAGCAAGCAGCTTTCCGTCTGCCGAAAATGCCACGCAGGTCACTCTATCCGCATGCTTGAAGGGCGAACTGATGGGCTTGCCCTTGTCGAGGTTCCACAATTGCGCTGTCCTATCGTATGATGCGCTTGCAAGGATCCGGCCATCTGGAGAGATAGCAATGGCACGGACAAAGCTGGTGTGCGCATCCAAAATTGCGGTCTGCTGCCAGGTGGCTGTATCCCATGTCCTAATTGAGTGATCGACTGACCCGGATATAAGAGTCTTTCCGTCAGCGGCCCAAGCCAAGCAATTCACTGAACGTGTGTGTCCTTCGAGGGTCGTGACTAGCTTTCCTGTCTTTGCGTCCCAAATCTTTACCGGGGACTCGGCGACGTGGTATCCAGCTGTCGCGATCATGGACGCGTCTGGCGAATAGACAACTGCGCCCACGTAGGTGTGTCCTGTCTCTATTGGTGAGAGGATAATTTCTCCCTTCTCCACATCCCATTGTCTTGCAGTCCCATCATTAGACCCGCTTAACACTCGCTGGCCATCTTGACTCCAGCAGACAGAGCACACGCTCTGTGTGTGCCCCGTCCATTTAGCGATGACCTTTCCAGTCTCGACACTCCACAACCTTACCGCACCGTCTTCACTCCCACTAACTACTGTCTTGCCGTCCGGAGATAACGCTATGGTGTACACCGGGCTTACTCCGTCCCGCCAGCGTTCACCGATCTGTTCCCCGCTCTTCAAGTCCCAAACCCGCAGTGAGCCATCACTTGAACAAGTGAGGATCCGTTGACCGCCTGGTAGGTGTATGACGCCCCAAACACGACTCGTGTGTCCTTTAAACTTCTGGCCGGGCGTAATTGCCGAAGTGTCCTGCGTCTTAGCAATGATCTCTGATGTCTGTTTCTCTTCAGCGGCCATAGCTATTACCTGAGGATTTCAAGTAGCCACTGTCTCAGCATGTATTCCTTGATGCGCATATTAACACTCACGAGCAGGTGTTTACCAGGATTCGATGGACGAAAAGGTGTGTGCTAAAACGCAGCGTGGGGATCAACTTGTCTGATAGATTTGCTGATATCAAAGCATATAAGTGCAGAAAAAGCGCTCAGGCACCATGGTGGCCATGAGCATTGGAATTTTTCTCTCTAGCGTGCCGCATCAGTCTGGCACTCCCTTATCGCTCCTTGACTAGCCTGCTATATCATGATATATCATGTTACGTGTGATTATACACTATAAGAACACACCGGATTCCTGAAAATGAGCCTTCGAACTTCTGCAAGTTCTGCGGCCCCCTTACATTTTACCAGGTTCTGCCATGGAGAATGGGAAAACAAGGATTGAGGCTTTGCTGAGATTGCTTCTTGTGTCTGAGTCAGCAATTAAACATTCCGTATTCGGATGAATTCAGATTCTAACTCTACGTTTAAACCTCCTCGACTACTTATCATATGACAGATAGGTAGGCAAGTTTCTCTTACTGAACTCACAGCCGGTCCCCTTGCTGATCATAGAAACTGTAGTCACCTAATCAGGCTTGGTGTATCCTACCACAACCAACACGGACAAGTTAGGTTTCGTCAAAATATATGCTTTACATAGCATAGGATACCGACGTTGTCACGATTCTCACAGATCCTCAACTCGCAGTACTGTCGAGAAGCTTGATGTCATAAATGTGCCATCGAATCCCACAACGGTGACCAATCAACTTGTGACATGCGACAGGCTGTGAGTTTCATGTTTACTTGGTGGAGTGTTTCATATTAGCACTTCGGAGTAGTCCTCAGAGGCGTTTCCATGTATAGCTTCATTGGCCGTACACTGACAGTGAGAAAGACAGCCAATTCTTCCAGGAGTCTACAAAGATACGCCAGTTGACCGGGCACTTGGATCTCGATCGTCGACACAACAATAGGTACTTCAAATTTCTAACTTCCACACCCCTCATCTCACACTCTTGTGCTTTGCGATTGCATTTTATGTTCAGTTTTAGCTCAATCGCTAGCAAAACTGCACTAGTCGCTTTTTGGGTCAGTGAAGTACATATTCTTACGGTAATCCGCAAAGCTCATCCCTTTTATTAGGCACTGGATATCTTGACATGAAGTCCATGGTCTATTGGCGTATTTGGCCTGTGAGGTTTATGGTGTTCGCTTTGACGCAAGAGCCGTCCAAGCGTGCATCCAAGCGTTTACCTTGCACCCATATTCTCCCATAGTATGGATTACCGGTCACATGGTGAGAAATACTATTTCAAGTTACTCCTTATTAGTGGTCTGTGGCGTCATTTTCCACTCATAGCGACTTCATTAACAATGTTCAGTTTCGGAAAACAGCAAGCACCGATCTCCTAATCTAAAAGTCAAGCACGATGTCAAACTTTATCATGCAGTACTCGGTAAGATGATGGATGACTGGCAGTGAGTAACCTAACGGAGGATATTCACTTCACATCTGCTGACCTCCCACCGGCAGGTGCCTTGGTTCTTATCGTGTTAGAACCCCAAAGGTCAATGCACATCGGAGCCCAGTAGAAAGATAGATAAGATGATTTTTGTTGTCGATAAGTATCTGTACATTTCTGTCATCAAAATAGTGATTTGAAGTGCCTTCTCGATGCTTACCTGTGATATTCTCGCAATTTCTCCGCACCGATGCATTACCAGGGCACTGTAAAGGAGAGAGTGGAACATATAATAGTAGGTATATTTGGTAGTACAACGTTACTTAGATTCAGTGAGCAACACATTGAGGATTCCAATATTTAAGACTGGGTAACTGGTTTGAATGTCGTGCGAACTTGATATGCTCTAACTTTCGTGAGCACTATGACTTCGCCGGATACCGAGAGTATGACCTATGATAACTTTCACGATCTTGAATGGCCTCATCTGTGATAGATGGATACCCGGTGGTCACTAGATGAAACGAAGTTTTGATTTGAACTTCATCAATCACATAATTAAGGTATAGTACTACATGCCCTTTAACAACGCGGCCACAAGGCCACATGGACATGGCGTGTTCAGCGCGAGTCAGCGCTTATAGTTCTTGGATTCGTTAACTCTACAGAATGACACGACGTCGCAAGAATACACCCAAACAACAAGCCAGGACAGAGCCTGCAGGAGAAGCCCAAGAGACAGACGGCTCTCCGAGTCTGTCACGGTGTGCACCAACGACACAATACCACCATTTCATTCCACGGTTCATATTGAGAAGATTCCAAGTCGGACCTGTGAAGTGCGTTTTCAGAGTCCTCTCGAGCACTCTGCGTGTAGACACTAGACCAGAACACTGAATGATATTCTTTGCAGGTCCAAAACAGAACGACAAAAAGAATTTCGACGCACAGGTGTTGATCCTGAATACGTCCACTACTATGACATTGCTACGGGTAGCCTTGACATTCGTCCTATTGGAAAGGTTTACGGCGTACCGAATTTCTACCAGGATGTCCAAAACACCCGTAACATCAACGAACTAGAGGAGAAATTAGCGGACCTCGAACGTCATGCAGCCTCCATTATCATGGACTTGCATAAAGTGCTTCCTCAGGGTACTTTCACTCTGAAGCGGAGGCCGTTGGAGCTCCTGCGGAAGTTTCTGTTCATCATGCATTATCGCAAGGTATCGTGTTCGGGCGCCTACTTCCAAGCAGATCACCCGGAGAACGCAAGGAGCCGTCAGTGGATTGAGTCCTTCATGAAGGCGAAGGGTATTCAATCTTCTATCGGCGTATGGCTATACTTCCTCAGATACTACCTGGACACATCACATTCAGATATCATGCGAGATGCCGCGGAACTCGTAGATAAGTACGGCGAAGAAGGTCTTCTAAAAATGATCACTGAATCACATATTCCACCTGATGTCGAAAACTACCCAGCTTACACTTACCACACTCACGCGAACAACGCCTTCTTCAGTATCTGGGAGGCTGCGGAAGGGGAAGAATTTATCCTCACGCACAACGGATTCGGTTTATGGGAAGGCTTAGGAGGTGGCTGCCCTGGCCTTCACCGCATATTTGTAGTCAGCCCTCGCATTGCTATTGTCTTGTGCAATATCGTCTTACGCCCAGACATAAAAAAATACGCAAAGCCGGGTTCGCTCGTGAGCTCCTTGCTCCACGTGAATCCAGCACCAGCAACTCCAATTTACACCAGTGGAGAACGTGCTATACCCATGAATTCCGAATCCGCAATGGCGCTTGCACGTTACAGATCCTCCCAGGAAGGGGCAAATGACAGTTTTGTGTTCAAGATTACAAAACTATCGCGACCTCAGACATTGGAGTTTAATTCCGTTCTATTGGTCAATGTGACGAAGACAGGCTCTTTGACCTTCCTGTCAAAGAGTAATGCGCTCCGCACCGTGCGTGTATTCCGGAGTTTGCCAGCCAATTTCCTTGCGAGCGAGCTGCTCGTTCCGCTCATTGCGCGATTGACGGATACCATGGAGACAGAAGCGTCAGCTCTTCGCCCACCATTACAGTCGCCAGAAGCTGTCCTCCACCCGAAAGTTGACGCCCTTACACTCGTTGATGTAGTGCTCTATGTGCTTCTAATGCAGATATGCACGGGTAGCAGGCGGTTCGAAACGGCATATGACAGGGCACACCTAGTCTTTAAAATCATGGAGAAAGCAAAGCCCACGTCATTCGCAGACGAAATCAACCGAGAAGTCGAGAAGGCTTTCAAGGTTTGCAAAGAATCGGAGGATGAGATGCCTGAAGGAGAGGGCATCAGTTTCGCCCCCTTGCTTTCTTCGATTTCCGACGAGTCGTCTTCTCAACTCTTCCAATTCATGATACCTTACATGAGCAGACTTGGCGCGGTGATGTCTGAAGGTGAAGAGATTTTGGAAGAGCTCCAAGATGAAGTCACTGTAGTGAGCTTTCTTGCACGTGCGTCAAGCAGCCCAGCAGTGTGGCATACACTCTCGTGTACTAGCCCACAGGCCTCCGAAATCTTGTCAAGACTATTCAAAAAAGACACCCCAACAGATGAAAGTGTTAGGAGTTTCATGCGGTCTATGTATGAGCACGCTTCGCCATCATCTCTCTCTTCCGGGTTTCACCTGGCATATTTTTTACGAGAAATATGCGGCATGACTGGGCCGACTACCAATCTCATCAGTCAGCGCTATTACCGGTTGACCGCATTCCTAATCGAAGGTCTTGGTCGCACAATGCTAGGGTCCCTACCAGAACCATATTCCTCGCAGCCGCGCGAGAGGCCCAAGGCCCGGCTCTTTTACAAGATGTCAGAAGAGCATTCAAAATTGCTTTTCTCGAATATGAAAGTGATGCTGCGAGATGTGGGATACGAGCCGTCGCCGGGAGGGAGTACTTTAGGCCAAACCCTCAGTAAGTGGGTAGACGAGATGGCCATCGTTGGCTGTCTTGCATGGTTAGGAAAGCACAGAAGAAATTTTTTGGACTTTCTTCTGGATCAGTTTCCGCAGGGTATGAATCTCAAGCTGTTTGAGGATGAAGAAGCCACTGGGAGTGTCTAAATCGGCTTGTTCGAAACTGATCTTTTATATATAACGCATTCAAGATCACTTACTGAGACGTGCATCAGTTGTACACATTTTTGGAATAGAATGAGGATTCATTGATCGGCAAGACATTGTTGACAGTGGCTTCAACATTAACGCCAAGGCTTAGTATGGCCAAGGAAAGTTGTCCAACTCCGGGCAGGAACTTTGAAGTTTTCATGGAACCATGAAGTTGTAGAACTCTGGAAAGCCGCAGCTACGACGGCCATGTGAGGGATACCTGAAGTGGGAATTACAAATGATTTGCTTGGCTAGCATGATTAATCATATTTGTGCGACGTCTCGAACGATTTCGCAACCCAAAGCCTTCCAAGTACTTGAGTGTAAGCAGGAGCATTTTGGGAGGGCAATCCCTTCCGGTAGAGCGTTCTATAACCTGAGTGGTTCTTTCACAACATTGATAGTAGCAAATTACATGTTATGTCCGTACCAGTGTGATCGTATTCTGTGCAAACGCGGGGCTCGCGACGACGCCCAGTGAGCCAGTTCTTGCTATTAATATAGATCCACTCAGGACAGCTTCACACTGGGCGTGGTGCCTGACATTGACTGGCTCTCGTATACATGTAATATGATGCACGTGGGTGGGGTAGAGCAGTCGTCGCTGTGACAAGACCTGCATTGCAGATTTTAAGAGCAATATATGAGAAGCAAACGACATGATGTAACGACAGGGAAATTCAGACCTTCTCTAGATGTAACACGAACCTGCGGACTAACGCAGGGGTAAAATGTTCAGATCAGCATGACTTGATACAATATAGCATGATAACAGTTAAACAGCAGGGTACTGGCATATGAGACTGGGTCTAATCACTGACTGCAGCCAGGTAGCCCTGTACAAGGATTGTGTCAGCGATCATATTCAGAGAATCGGCGTAAAGGAGGGAACTGCCGAAGAGACAGTGACAGACGGACGGTACCAGGTGCTTTAGGGCCAATCGGCAAGATACTCACCTCTCTATCTTCCAAAAACTCCCAATAAGCTAAGGCAACAGCGATCCAAAAGCTCGTATCAATTCCCAATACACGCTCTTCTGCTCTATTGATCTCGAGAAGACCCGTCACCGACGCCAAGGTGAGTACCGGTGTACGATCATGGAAGGTTAACAATGGCGTCGGGGTCATCGGAATGACCTGGGATATTCGATGTCCCGAACTAGGCAGTTTGGGACTAGACTGGTTGAGTTGCGTGATCGTGAATGAGGCAGAGTGTGAAGGCCTGTTGTTTTTGAACATCGACAGCGTGCGTGTTATGAACGATGTCTGCTCGCCTGGATGTGGCCCCGGGATGTGCGGTGTAGAATGTGGTGCCAACAAGAACTGCGTTGCCTCAGAACGAGAGGGACGTTTCTGTGCTGCAATGGGCGATGGGGATATTTCTTCCAACCGTGCACTTAGGCTTTGTGGTGTAGGTGGTGTGATCATAATGGAGGCTGGGGGCGGTGTTGGGGGATAAGAGTGCACAGTCGATGTACTATCTATGGACATCTTCGAGGTACTGGGTGAGTCTATCATAGTAGAGGGGGCGTTCGTAAGACATGATAAGGACAGCGCGGCGTCTGTATAATTAGGGGACGTGCGGGGAATAGGAAGGAGGGATATGGAGACGCCTAGGGGAAATGATGGTGCACGGATGCGAATATACCACCCGCGCTTTGGTTTGTGAATTGTCCAGCAGATTGTTGATGTTTGGTTGTGCTTCGGAGGGAATGTGAATTGTTGTAATGCATGAAAGATGGAACTCACCACAACATGCTCAATGATCTCGTCGTCCCCTAGGAACCTTTCCTTCATTCAGGTGAGCGGGCGAAGGAAGGAACCGCTGGGGTGTCGCACCTTGTACCACATGACATTGTCGTGACCCTCCTCAAAGACATTGATTCGCAAGTCAGAAATGACGTCGGAGCTATAACAAACCAGGGTAAAATGTAGTAATGGCATATTATCTGGACAACTTTTAATTACCTCTGTATCACATATCGAGCCAGGTTGGGGCTGTGGATTTGATTCTGCATGGCTACGACCTGCAGTTGTGGTACGAGGATAGGTGTTCGACGTAACGCCGCAAGGTCACTTATGAAACTTTGGTCTGAAACGGACCCTTGAAGGCCCGGCTAATGTGGCTGTGCAAATTCAACTATCAGTCTGCAAGTTGCAACGGTGCAGTGCCTTCTGTTGATTTTTGAAGCAGAACTTTAGTCGTGGATGCCACCTGGGCCTGCGTTTGGATGGCTTTGCGTTCTCCACTCAGTCACAGATATTGCTGTTCGTGCAGCACAGATCAGAGCCTCCCAGGTTTTTACTGTCAGACTTGTTGTATCTCCGGAGTTCGTTTTGCGCAAGAGCAAGACAGAAGAGCATCAGTTGACATCACAGCCTGCATGTGATGCTCAAGCTAACCACGATTCTTCAAAATCACGCACAAATCACGCGTTTTTTACCAACCCCCCGAGTAACAATACTTACCTGTCTCATCCCGAGGAACGGCGAGAGGAACTGACACCATCACCGCCTCGGTTTGAAGAGGATATCCCGTCTGAGCAGTTTTCGCCCACTGCCAATATCCCTCTCTCTACTGAGTCTGCCTTAGAACCTCAACTACACAGTCATCCCAGCCTTGCGGTTTCTTCTATTCCACTTGAGGCAGAGAGTTCCTTGAAAATAGCGTCTTCTTCCGAAGTCACGTTCGACTCTAGTCCTCCTTCCATACCCACAGGATTTGAAAACGAAATAGAAAGTTCTGTACCCCCAGATTTAGAGGTGTGTCTTTAGTCCTATTCTTCCTGCCAGCTCGTTACTTCTGTCGACCTCTTGCTCATTTCAACGTGCTGCCACCCCATAGCCCCCAGAAAAAGCCCTATCCGAACCCATAGACTCTCCTATACTCTCACGCAACCTCCAATCATCCAAGGTCCCTTCGTCCAGACTTGGTCGGTTATTTCACTATGGCGGTACGACTTTTTTTACTATCCTTTCGTTCACCTTTTGCTAACTTGCAGTTACAGGCCTTGCAGCATCGCTCTCGTACGGCGCTGCTTCCGAGCTCTTACGTCGCTCTACTGCATCCCATGCAAACAACACACAACCAGTCATGCTAACTGAAGCAAACATAACCCGTTTGGTATCCAAGCTCTCTCAGATGCGGGGTGCTGCACTAAAGCTCGGCCAGTTCATGAGCATTCAAGGTGCCCATTCATCAGCAATCTCTTATCATTTTGTCCACTGCTAATCTAGGCGCTAGATACCCACCTCCTACCCCCAGAAGTTGACAAAATATTCCGCCGCGTTCAAGACAGCGCTCACTATATGCCGGACTGGCAGATGCAACAAGTGCTGTGCACATCCCTAGGGGAATCATGGGCCGATAATTTTACATCATTCGGTCGTATACCGTTCGCAGCTGCGAGCATCGGTCAGGTGCATCACGCTGTCCTTGCTCCAAGTCAGAGTCCATCTAGCAACGACGGCCAACGCGTTGCTGTGAAGATCCAGTTCCCGAACATTGCTAACTCAATCGCGAGCGACCTTGGCTACGTTAAAATGATGCTCACTGCGGGAAGCTTGCTTCCGCGGGGGTTGTTCTTGGATCGTACAATTCAAGTGCGTCTTCTATATCTCCCTCATGCTCAGAGCTAAATATTTGACCTCCCATTCTTGCCTCGTTTCCTGCTATCCGAACAATTCACTGCATTCCATCTCAATATCAAAGGTGATGAAAGACGAACTTGCTGACGAATGCGACTACTCGCGGGAGGCAACTTTCCTCGAGAGGTATGGGAGCCCGGATTATCTTGGCGCAGACGTACGGTTCAAGGTCCCATGGGTGTGGCCAGGTAGCACAGAGCGTGTTCTTGTAATGGAGTATGTAGAAGGCGTCAGCATTGGGGATGCTGTAATTGGAGCTTTACCGCAAGAAGAGCGGAACGAGGTGCGCACTTCTCCTATCATCATCTATAGATCATGCATACATCTGTTGAATGTCATAGTAGATTGCATCGCGAATCATCGAGCTCTGCTTACGGGAGCTCTTCCAGTTCAGGCTCATGCAGACGGACCCTAACTTCACGAATTTTCTGTGGGACTCAAAGGCACAACAGGTGTGTGTCATATGTTGGGGCTTCATATTTTCAACTTCTTGAATTTCCTGGACGATCTCACCGACTATCATCGCAGCTATCACTAGTAGACTTTGGCGCAACACGTGAGTACACGAAAGAATTCATGGACAGCTGGCTGCGCCTCCTTCAAGCCGCTGCGTCTGAGGACCGTGTCGCATGTGCAGAATGGAGTCAGAAACTTGGATATCTCACTGGAGAGGAGAATGAGGTACCATCTCCCCATTGTTCCGCGCATGTATTCACATAACACATTCATAGGCCATGCTCAATGCGCACATCGATTCCATGGTCCTTCTAGCTACCCCCTTCAAACCCACGACCTCGCAGCCCTTCGCATTTGGATCTGGGACGCCATGGGCCGACATCACGGCTCGAATACGTGATAACATACCTGTGATGCTTAAGCATAGGCTGACGCCCCCACCGAGGGAAACCTACAGTCTGAATCGGTGAGTCTTGGGATATATTTTCTTGCGAATAAGAGTTGCGATTTTGTCTTCAATTTTTTTTGCGTGCTTCCTCCTGCTCTCTTTACTCATTGTTGGTTCTGTAGAAAATTGAGTGGGGCGTTCTTACTTGCTTCGAGGTTGCGTGCTGTGGTAGACACCAAGAAGCTTTGGGACCAAGTGACCAATCAGTACAAGTTTGATTGACGCTGTCCGGTCCAGTGTTCAATGGCGCAATTTATGTGGAACACCTTAATGCAGCGATATCCGTCGTCTAACAAAAAGTTGCTGCAATCCTATATAATAACAAGCCGCCCGCACTGTCTCTGGTCGTTGCACAGAGTGCATTTATTCCAAAGCAAGCGCTTGCCCTATCTTGTTCTTTGTTTGTTGACGCAGATTTAAATAGACGGAATGTCTCTACAGCTTAATGTTGGACTTCGACCTTTCGACGATGGAGGCCCATAAGCAATTGCGTAAAGTGCGACGATCAGTACAATTTTGACCTGCGCACATATTGCAGAGGATAAGACCTTGACTAAATACCTTCTGCAAGGACATTGTTCGGCATTGACTTGATCATACATGTTGTTTCTCTGCTCCGAGTCGAAATGCTACTTTGTTGCGTCGTGAGTATAGTTCTTGGTTATATCCTTCGAAAGATCGTCGTTGTGCAGTAGGGAGTTCGTAGTCCCTTGCTACATGACCAGGACTATTAAGCGAGCAATAATATTAGGATGTCGTCAAAACCACCATTTAATTCAAATTTAGTTAAGACTCGGAATTCGGAGTCATGGCCCTTGCGTGCCGCTCAACTCATCACGACCAAACATGTTCTCGAAGTTGATACTAAGGCTTTTAAAAAGTTCATGCAAAGTGTTGACTACATTCATAACTTTATTTTCCCAAAGATTCCGCATCCTCGCAACCTGCTTTCGACATTTTGTGGCCAAGTTAAAGATTCGCGGTAATCCCGACTCAACGACGTTTTCTCCTGCAAACTGCTGTACTGTACCGACCAGCACTTCATTTGTGCGATGTCCTCCCGGGCCGGTCAACTTACCGTTGCCACTTCATAACCAGCAAATAACTTCAGCTAGTGCAGCAAGCAGCACACAAGATGTGTTGTCCTCAATGCCATTTCCTATGCCTCGGCCATGGATTCCCCCTCAGACGACTTCACCTACACAAGTTCCTAATACGAGCTCTTACAATGTTCCAAACACCAATATAAAGCTTGTGCCATTCGCTGCGAATGACATTTCCGAGTCACGATACGAGAATCGTCCTCTTGTGTACGTGAATGCAATCTATCTCAACAATGTATCGATCTTGAGGCGGCATATAGAGACAAAGCTCAAAGACGCAATGGAATTCCAGCACTCCAGAGACAGTTCCCCAACGAGTGAGTACACAACCAGGGGGCGCATGCGGATGACAAACGGTCCAGATCATGTCCGTGGCTGAGCGGTGATTGGCAGTCATGTGTACACCCGGAAGGCGTACTATATCTGTACAACGACCGCCGGGTAAGCATTCTATCATGAAGGCCATGCGCGCTTTTCACATATTCCGCAGAGGGTGTTCACAGAAGCAACCTTGGATCACAGCATGTTCAAGTTGCTCGACGGATGCGTAGACGAGTTATACGAACTAGCGCAAACACGATCAGTGGATCTCGGAGCTGGCGACATCGAGCTCGTTGTGCAACTAGCGCAGAATGAAGCCCAAGGTGCACAAGTGTTTTGTTATTATTATTTCGTCGACCACACAGCTCGGATACTTTTTTGGTTGCACGATCGCAATCAAGAGACGGACTCTGATATTTTTAGTGGGCTCCAGGGCGTCACCGATCTCAGCCATATTCGTGCGTTACGCGGGACTTGTGATGATGCTGCTGATGTGAATAAACACTAGGATATTCCCTGGTGTCTGAATACTGGTTTGTCACGCTCAATTTTGTACGAGTTTTGCATACTTCCTGCAAGACTTATCTTTATTCTAATATGGCTTCAGAACCTATGACTATACTACATGGAGTGAGCAGGACGCACTGCGAATGCTACCCGGACCATCAGATGGATAGACCGAAGATCATCAAGGAACTAAGGGAGCTTGTCGTGCATGCAATTACAGGTACTTATCACCTAGATTCAATTGTCGATGTGTGATTCAGAGACCATCACTTCGGACACGTCCTTGTCGCCTTTTGACGGAGATGAACTTTCCAGAATCTTAGAGTTAATAAACCATCTGAAAGGTATGGCGATCCCCTTTGAACTGTTTTCATCTGTAACAGTCTAAAGTGCTATTATATATCTCCAGAGAATGCTCTGGACAACGACCCACATTCTACATGTGTTATCGGTAAGTAATACTATATTCACAGATCAATCTATGATTCACTATTGCATCAACAGCGAGATTCATGCATTACTTCTGTATAATTTTCATTTCGACGTCTTAGCTCACGGCTAATTCATGCTGAAGATAGAGCCAAGTTCTTCAATTTCTGCGGTTTACCCTGTGCTCGTCTTGAAGCCGATAAATCGGTGTACGAAGAAGACAAGAGCTTTCATCTATTGACCAGTAGTGCTTCTTTCGCTTTCGACGCCATGCTGTTTTGGGCACCACAATCACACCTGGAAGGACTTCGAAAAGTGTGGGTGGATGAATGCATCAATACGCCGCGGTGGAAAGACTTCAACAAAAACCTCATGACAGAATGGACTGGGATCACGATCTATGTACGTATCATAATGTTAGCATCCTCCTTCGTAATTTGATTATTTCCAGTCCACTGTCATGTTAGCAGTAGACGTAAGTTTCCTTGCAGTGCCGAATGTGAATATCAGCCAGTCGCAGTCGATCGGGATCATTGCCACCTATCTCTCCACCATCTTTATTACTGGCTCTTTGATTGTATCAGTCTTGTTGGTGCGACAAAACCAAAGATATGGATTTGAATCAGCGGACAAAGCAGTAAGTTCTTGCGCTTTCGTCTACTTTTTCCCTACTAACTAATTCTGTCAGACGGTTTTTCTGTCTCATATGACGGGGACATTTTTCGGAGTGGGAGCCCTTGCCACGATTCACAGTCTTCCCTACGCAATGCTTATGTGGGGGTAGGTGGATTGCTACTCCATCACCGGGCTAATGATTACCTTATTCTTGATTAGGATGATATACTTTGCAATTGCCATTCTGTACAATGCTTTCAAGTCTACGACAGTTGCCTTGCTGGCATCTGTCGTCAGCGGATGCGTGGTCGTCACCATGTTCATTTTTTGGTTCATCTGGGCAGCGAGAGAGTTCCATCTTTTCGAGCCACTAGTAAAGTCTATTTGCCCCTCAGTACTAGCAAGAAATACTCGACCTTAGCACATACTTCAGGATTTGTATACGTGCAATGACAATTACTTCAACGCCAGCTGTTTGTGGCATTGAATCTAAATCAGTCGCTAAGCTGCCTATTACATTATCATCCTTAGCAACTTTATGGTGTGCGAATTGTCCATGCTTTGAGTATACTGTGCAATCTGAGAACTAGTACGGAGTTATACGCCTTCTTCAATCATCCACAATCATCCACACATATCGATTTTCATGTTCGCTGTTTCCAAGTCTTGCGGCCTCTGCAGTCTCGTCGCATTCACATTCATCGCCTCATTGAGGGGGTGCGTTAGACGTTCGACATCGACATCGTCTTCCTTTTTCGTCTCTGGCATTTCAGTCTCTATCGTGATGTTGTAGCTTACAATCTTGTTGTTTCGCGTTGTTATACCTCAGCGAACCGCTGAGGTGTGTTTCATGTTTAGTATGCACACCGGGACATTCTCACTGTATTTCGTCCTCTTTAGGTACTATCAACGGTGGCGGTTCTTTCGACGACGCCGAGATTTGTTCTTTGGCTACAGCCGCGGATGTAGGAGGGCAGGTGGTACCGGGTGTATGAAGCCGCAATTCCCAAGGCGTTTCTAAAATTACACAAGGACTCCCGGTACTAGACAGATAAGAGGACTCGGATACAGAATGCGGAACATGAATATATGAATGCTTGCCTGGTCCTGGAACGTATGACACGGCGAATGTGTTGGTAAAGCGAATGTAAGAGATACTCCCGGCAGGACTTCGTGCTCGCAGATGGACTTTCGAGGAATAAAACCTGTGCATGTGTGAGAACGAGCGGTTAATCGATCATAGGACGACCTGAGAAGACCTGAAATGTACCACGTCGACAATAAATATATCCAGGCTCCCATGAAACAACGGACGGACTACTACACCTCCTCTGCAACCCTTACCAGTACTCTGGAGTCGAATCCTGTCATTCCAAACGCCATGAGCCAAGAGCACCAAAGACTACGTCCAAGTCTACGGCGATTCATGCTGTCGTATGCCCCCGACTGGTGAACTTCTTGATCGTTGAACTCTGGGCTTGAACTCATGTAGTCTTTTTTTTCACGAAGGATCATATCTGGTGCCCTTTGGTGAGAATTTGGAGCCTGGCTGTGAAGGTTGCAGGCATGGAAGGATCCAGAGCTAAAGACTGTATCAACTCGCAGGGCGATCTTCTGGGCAATCGACAACTACATCCGAGTCTCTGGGTTTAAGAGGCAGTTTTCGCTGTCTGATGTCTCGTAAGTATCAATGCTTCCATTCGGTTCGACTTCATGACAACGAGACACCCTCTATAGATTACGATATCCGTGGGTATTATTCATCGACTAGGTTCCTACTTACAACGCTCACTTCATACCCACCAGCTATGCTGTCAATGAACGTGTCGGGGTAAGCCTCAGCGGACATGGGCAAAGTTTTTTTTACTCACGACATACCAGACAACGGCTCTTAGCTTCATCTCTTGCGGCATCCCATTTGTGGTTCAGTGCTTCGTCAATTTTTTGACAGTCCAGTCATGGTGGGATTTCCACCACAGCACTCTGGGATGTATGTACCTAAGCCTAGTAGCCACATCTTATGCCTGCTGATGCCGATACAGTGGTCCTCTCTCTGTCGACGACAAGGGCCATCACACAATTAGTCAAAGTCACGGTTGGACGACCTCGGCCAGGTAAGCTTGCAGTTTCACGCACATAGATCAACTTGGCGAGTCTTATGATATTTACAGATTTAATCTCCCGCTGTCAGCCTGTGACGGGCTCTGCAGACCCTCTTTTTGGCCTATCTACGGTAGATATATGTACGCAGACGGTATCGAAGATACTCGAAGATGGATGGAAAAGCTTCCCCAGCGGTCATTCCAGCAGTATGACGAATGTTATCTTTCCTTGTCATCGATCTGATATGTCTACATTTAGTGTCCTTTGCAGGCCTCGGATTCCTCGCCTTTTACTTGATCGGTAAACTGCATCTATTTGACACCCGGGGATATGTCGTAAGTTCCTATTGCTCTGTGAACAGTCTAGCGTGTCTGACCACCATAATTCAGAGTAAAGTGTGGATATGTATTGCTCCCCTTGCTGGTGCAATGTTAGTGGCAATTTCGCGCACTATGGACTATCGTCGTACGATCCCTTTTCTATGAAATAATGTTAGATCGCTCATTTTGCCATTCAGACCATTGGCAGGACGTTGTGGGTGGATCGACGCTTGGACTTCTCCTCGCATACTTTTCGTACAGGCAGTATTACCCTCACCTAGCATTGGCAGAATCACACCAGCCGTATACTACCCGGTTCGAAGATACCAAGAGTGTTGAATTTGGTGGGATCAGCGGAACCACAGAACCGTTGTTAAACAGTTATGACGAAGATGATGAAGTGATCAGCACGAGACGTCATCCAAGGACCGGAATTCGACGGTAACGTTCTTTACAGTATGTGCGCACCAGACCAAATTTTTCGTAATTTGAAATACTATCAGTTCGATTTTGTTTTCCTAAAGTCCGTGTTCCCGTCCTTTGCACGAAGCCGCTCCTACACCCATCATTGCCAAGATTTGATTGCTATTTCAGGCGAATGACATCATCTTCAGCGTGAATAAGCAGTTGATCAAAGCTGACTAACCTGAGGTTAGAATTCCGAGAAACTCCTAAGATTTTTACCTTACCGTGTCTGCCAACAAAACCCCTAAAACTGCATTTACCTTCAACAGAACTATCACTTCTCCGACCAAAAAGGTTTTTAAAATGGAAATTTCTTCCCGTGAGAAGGTACGCCTTCCAAAATCAGTAATCTGTTCGTTATTGAGGTGGCTGATTCAGGAACTAATACATGATGCACACGTGCTGGGGAAGCGTGTACGAGAATAGGAACAGGAACTCGAAAAAGTCAAACACAAACTTGAAGAGGTGGAACACGAACTCAAAGAGGTGAAGGCTTCTGTGAGATTACGAGAAACCACGATGGTGGAATGGCAAGCAGCCAGTCGTGTATTAGATGGTATGTCATTATTCCCTTGGGTCCGAATCTTTTATTAAATCTAAATTCAGTGATTGGGAGCTTTGTGTGGGAAGATCTGTCCGAGGCAATATTAAAAACATACAGTACGTATATTCAAATCCCCGACTCCACGTCAGTGGAGAGGGTTCTCTTGGACAGAAACGTTCAAACGCCTGCAAACGCACCCGTGGGAATGGGAAAAAATTGTGGCGCTTAGTCAGTGGGAAAAGCTTTTGTTCTCGTTCTGTCACAAGTTGACAGAAATTGTCCATCGTGTTATTTATGGTTCCGGTGGACAGTAGTACTTACACCCTGGGCCGGTATGCCAAGGCTGCCGGGGATCACAACACTGGAATCTCGTACATTCGCAAATCATCGACTCAGCTACACTTTCCTTGACTTTCTGTTGTACGTACTCGGCCTCTCAGGCTGTAACTCCCTTCGAATCCTTGGTTGTGCAACAATCGTATGCCCCCACATCCCGTCTTCGTTGTTTATCGATAATGACTCATGTTCCGCAATATATTGTTCACTGTTCCTTGACTCGTGCTCGAGCTCCCTCATGCTTTGCTAATGCAGCCCTTAACTTGAAGGAAGGATTAGTGTTACTGGTAGTAAACCCTTAAGTTCTCCTGCAGAGTCAAAGTTACATGCAGATTGAGAGTCGGAGACAATTCTGATATGTTCTAATGGCAATGTACATTGCAATTGGATCTATTAGTGAGGAGGATGTTGATGACGAGGAAAAGCAATCGTTAAATCAGTATCACGCGGCGCGGCGCTCGAGCTCCGCCATTCTTGCTCGCATTCGGTTCAGTTCAGCCTCAGCTTCCTCCCTTTGCCTCCTCTCTTCGTCTGCTCTCTTCTCTGCCTCGTTTGCTTTCCTCTCCGCTTCCTCTCGTTGCCTCCTCTCGTCATCAACCTCTGGTTGACGTTGCGCCCGTCCCTCCGCCAATACTGCCATCCTCACCTTCCGAAACAGATAAGCAAACAGCCCAACCAATCCCAAAAAGAAAAAGAACAACTCACCCGGCGCTCTTCCTCCTCCTTCGCCCTCCTCCTCTCTCCCGCCGCTTCCTCAAACCGCGCCCACTCGGCTCGATACTGCTCACACACCGTGTTAACACTCTCGGCCTTCTTGATAGGCTGCCCCTTAAACCGAGAGCGCCCCTCATTCAGAGGCCTCTCCACGTGCTCAGGAAAAAGCTTCTTGAGTGCCTCCCAAACAGTGTACGCGTACCAATAGCATTGGTACTGCAACAACTCGTACATTGGGGAATGCTTGTTGAGCACGCACAGCAGAATGGATACCTGCATCGCTGACGGACGAGCAGAAGCGGGAAAATCAAGTTCGAAAAGATACTTATGCGGACCAAATTCCTGAGTGACGTATGAATCGATAGTAAAGCTGGAGCTGGTGGTTGGGGTGATGGTGTCTTTAGCGGTGATTGGAGATACTGATGGCGAGACTATGACTGCCTGCCCGGCTGATCTAGATGAGCCAGTGGTGTTTTCTGCACACGTGCGCTCCAGTGTGAGGATGGCGACAGCGTGGTGTTGCGTTGGATGACGGAAATGGAGGAGCAAAAACTCATGCTCAAATTCGATGGTGCATTTGCCGTAGACCATGCGTTCGAGCTTGCATTGTGCGGAAAGCTCGCTGGTAAAGAGCAGCGAGTGCCAAAGTCCTACGTCGATGTGACTAGGCTTGCCCGCCGGGGTGAACACTCCAGGGGCGTCAGTTGGGGATGACATGAATGGGTGAAGGATCGCTGCGAGGAAATTGCGAACGCTGAAACGCTTGACGCTTTTGCTTTTGAAGGCCATTTCATTCAAGTTGCCTTGGGTGGGGACTAGGGTTGGGGCACGAGGTAGGGAGGGTAAAAGGTGAGGTGGCTCATGTGTTTGGGAGAAGTCACCCTCGTACTGTCAATCATTGTGCTTGTGATTCTTGCTCCTTAAGGCATATCATTGCTCGAGCCTCCGGGTCTGGACATCCTATCCAAGTCGCATAACAACACAATCGAACATTCGATAACAGCCGGCGGCCTCTGGGAGTGGCACTTGAATTCAAAATCCAGACTCATAATCAAATTCAATGGCCAAGGACGGGTGTGTGCTAGTAGATTCTTAGAAGATCTCATCGCAATCATTATAGTTCATTCTCTCTATTACCATAATAACCGCAATCAACGCATCAAAAATGAGGTTACCATTTCCGCATATTCCATTTACTCCACCATCCATAAACACATACGTGATGCAGTTTCGGATGTATCGAAAATCAAGGACAAGTTTGCACCAGAGAGAATGGAGGTGCCAGCCCATCCTCCCATACCTGTGCAACACTTCGACAAACTCATCAAACGTCTCAGCTCACTCGGGTCAGGACATCCTGTCTTCGAACATCTTAGAACTTCTCTTTTGCATTGATCCGAATTGAAGTTTAATATATTTATCTCACTTACCTAATTACAATTCTTTTCTTTTCTCACTACTATCATTCGACGGGAAATGCACAATTTACACTTATTGCTGAATAGCAACACAACAACAACACATATTCGTATCGGATCTACTGTAGTGTATACTTTAGGTCTCTGTGCATTAGGCCCAACAAGAATTTTTTAATTTTGTTGCGAGCTTGTTGCAGCGGCAGCACTGGAAGTTGAGGTGTCGAAAACACAATAGAAATGCACAATTTCGTCACACTATGTCACGCGCGGCACCTCGGCCAATACACAATGATATTCACAGTCCGACAGCGTGCAAAGCGAATGAAAGTCCAGTGTTCCGCACCGTTCATAACTTCAAGCTTCAATAACGAGCTCCAAATCAAATTTCATTGAGGGAATAATATCTAGTAATAAACACTAGGATGTGCTGAGTGATCATTATTTGCTGAAACTCTATTTAATGGTGCAGGAAGGCCATGCAGGGGGTAAGGCATGTATCTGCCAGTGGACGGCCCAGCATGTAGCTGTGGTGGGAGGTCTTGTGAAGTTCGAAGAGGACGAGCCCCTTCTGGGGCTGGCACTGGCTGCATGAATCGTGTCTCGCGACCTGGATAATGGAGTGGGTATGCAGGTGGTGGATTAAATGAGGGGAAGGGTAAAGGACCGTTCATTTGCTGTGCCGCTTGACTCGAGAAGGGAGCGCCGTTACTATGCATAGCTATTCAGACATTATCAGCAACAAAATAAACATGGAAGTAAGTGAAATACAACCATGACTGATGCTTGGAACGAGCTGCTGAGATGGTGTAGCTTGAATGGGAGCAGTATGGTCAATTCTTGAAGATCCAGCATGACCGTTTGACTCATGGGGTGCCCGATTTCCACGAGATGTGTAAAGACCAGAAAAGCGGTGGTCCTGGCGTAGGTCGGGAGTATTCTCCAAGTGTCCTTTGATGCGTTCTAAAATTTCAGACTTCGTGCCCTCGGTTGACAGCGAAAGAGCAGTAGCAATATCCTTCCTTGTAATGTAACAATGTCCTCTGGTGTCTTCAAAGGAACAGATGCTGGTATGTGCCGATTCTGCCGAATGCAAAGAAAGCGGAGACTCAACCAAGCCGAGAGTGTGATTTCCCAATCTAGCCTGACCGTCACGCTTTGCTCATGAATCGCGAATAGCATGCTGTGGTGGTGTCCTATTGACATAGAAACACCTGGAGTAGATTCAGGATGGTGCATTTCACATATTTTGAACTTTCTGTGTTGATAGGTTAATGGGATCTGGGTGGATCTTGGATTTAGTGTCCAAAAATCACTCATTTTGGGCACACTCGCACAATGTTTCATCTCGGGAAGGCTTCACAGCACCGATTTTAAAATTTTGAATTGGTAGTATTATTGAATGTATGCTAATAATTGTCCACCAGCTGTTCCGAATGAAATATATGTAGAGTGGTGAGCTCTGGAGTGCATTGTGCATTATCCATCGATTGTGCATTCCGAATCAGGTGATAGTACCACACCCAGGCTCCTACCCACCACTGCTTCAAGGGTGAAGGCGGACTGCGACATTGAGTGATCACGTGGTAGCAAATTTTCAAAAAATTGTTTGTACCACGTGATCACTCAAAATCCTAATGTAGCAGTAGTCCGCCTTCACCCTCGAAGCAGTGGTGGGTAGGAGCCTGTACCACACCATGCAAACACGATGTCATTATTCAAGGCCTCCATGTCGGTCTTGCCCCAGCTTTTAGTCCGCTTTGCCATCGTACAGTCAGCATCTCAAAGTCAGTGTTCAAGTAGCTCATTACTTGTTTCCTCCTCAGGCCATCACCATCTTGAAACACAAGCCGAAGGACCAGTCCATTCCAAGTTGGTTGCTTTGAGATTCGTTCACAGACTTTTATGACATGATCAAGCAGGCCATCTCCTCGACCTTCAGTCGCATTTTTCTTTGTCCGACGATAGCCAGAAAACGTCTGACGAGCATGCGTGGAGGAATCATGCGCTCTCACTAGAAAGAGAACTCGAGTCCTTGAAGCAAAAGCGGGAAGAGGATGAAACAGGTGCGTTCGAGTCTTCAAATATCGTTCCTTCTAAGCCTTACTATCATTTTGTAGAACTCGTGCATCTGCGGCAAAACGCGACCAAGGACATACCAGACGACTCAGACGCTGTTCCCTCAAAGAAGAAAACGAAGAAGGTGGGTAAAACCCAGGAACTTCAACTTCAGGACAATGACTGGTCTGCAAAACGGGGAGGTACGAATCTCATATATTTGCCTCGTTTCCCTTGACTCACGACTAGTGGAAGAATGCCTCAATGCGACAGGCCAATCATCATCATCCCTCACCGCAGCGTTCACCTCCCTCCAAAGTCTTCTCAACTTAGTAAGTTCGCAGACAGGTGACGGACCACTAGGCAACTCGGGCCTGCTGGCTGCGATCACTCGCACAATTAACACCATCGGTAAATTCTTAGGCCTCCAAAATATTTCAACATCTTCTGTGCCAACGGAACTCAACGAGACGAGAATTGCAATGGCCTCCCCACTCCTGGTGTACGTCTTGCGTGTCGCCCTTCCAGCTCTCTTCCACCAAGACACCAGCAATTCCAGCAGCACCGCTGTGTCCCGCCTCGTCGACACCTTGTTTGTTCCTATTGTATGCAGTTTCACTCCCGTATCCCGGGCATACATTATGCACCATTTAGACGCAAGCTTGGCTAAGAAATCTTCGAAAGGCCGCAAGGGTAGCGAAAAGGTGCCGAAACCTCCCAGCCAAACAATCGTTCCCGACCCTCGTACGGACCTTTTGACTCTTCTCGGCGAGGCGCTGAATACGTTAGACTCGATATCACCCCGCCACTCTGGGTATACAGCTGGCATCAGGGAGCGCATAGCATTGGAGTCGATTCGGGCGCTAGACTCTTTGCTCTCTACAGCAACTACCGACGGGACTATTGGCAGTAATGTAACTCCAGAGGAAGCGTCTCGTGGCCCGGAATCATCGCAGGCGTCAAATCTACACAAACGGAGAACTGTGCTCGGTAGAAAGGATAGGCTCGAAGCCCTAGTGCGGAAAGACGCAACATGGTATCTATGCCACATACTCCACTCTTGCGTTAGCACAAGCGAACCGAAAGACGGGCCTGGATCTATGTTCAACGGTGCTCTTTTTGATGGCGCTGCCAGAATCGTGAAGATGTGCATCTCCATGGACTGTGACGGTGTTGCGCAAGTTGGGAGGAGGTGTGCCATGGATGTGATGTGCCGAAATATGGTCTTGGCCGCTTGTGAAGAGACAATCAGTGCCCTACCTCAAGAGAACCTTCGCTGTAATGTATCATAGATTGGTGAGGCCCTTACCTATGATTCAGTATCACTCTACTACATGGCACATATCTTTGAACCATTCTGTTGTACGATACCACGTACTTGTTCGTCTCACATATTTCGTGCTTTAGGTTTTTGGCAGTCTGTTCTCCCCACGAAATGTCTAGATAACCTTGAAAAGGTTTTCAAAAACAGTTGATCGAGTTTTATTGACTCTATGGGCATGGACCGCGATGGCTATAAACCTCCCCTGGCAAGCCTCAGTCGCAGAGCACGCGGTATGTAACTTTCCCAGGCACCGACGCGAGAGTCGGCGTGTATGCAGGTGTGCTTATGTAATGGGATAATCTCTATCCTTTGCCAATGAGCATACGAGCACCACGGAAAGGCGAAAACTATGAGCTCAGCGTGGATCTCAATAGCGAATGCCGCGATAAACGAAAAGATGCGATCAAGCGTGTCATAGCATCTATGACCGTTGGCAAAGGTGCTGCACTTTCTCGCTCGATCTGCCCAACGCGCTTGACAGACGTCATGTTCCCCGCAGGTTCAGCTTCAAACGTTGACTGCAGTTGTAAAGCTGTTATTGAAGAGGCCTGACTCATCCCAAGGGAGTCGTTCAGCGTGTGCTGATTACGGCAACGAAGGATTGTGATTCACCAGATGTGCGGGACCGCGCTTACATATATTGGAGACTCTTGTCAACAGACCCAGGCGCAGCGAAGGTGTGAATAATTTCTGAGCCTTGATCGATGGTCCTAATCGACTTAAAATAGGCTGTCATACACCCGGCGGCGAGACTGACGCTCAAACATACCTAGAAGGTGGGCCATCGGGAAAGTCGTTGCGGGTACTGAGCATATGACAAGTACATGAAGCAACTTCAATGCTTTTGCAATCGTGTTCATGCTGAGTAAGTGACAGTTTTGCTCTCTTTTTCCAGAATGTGGGCTCGTACCCTCTGACAATGTTTTCAGGGTGATTCTAGCATTTTTTGGAGGTGTGTTTCATTGCGAGATACGGGGCGACCGCTGGGTGTCCTGGTGGGGATTCGGCGATATATACCAACCTGACAGAGTTACCGACGCCTTTTGTTCAGAGAGGCTTCTGGGTATGATAGATATCTGCATCTCTGTCGTCAAATCTTATCCAGGAGAATGGGAGCAAATACTTGTTACGCATCTTGAACGTGCTCCCGATTATCACTAACATTACGGCGCTGCTGCGCCCACGTTCAAACTTATAATTTAGCACGTTGGTCTTGGAAGCAATGCTAGATGATTGGCGCCTTATGTATTAGATTAATATTGTTACCGAACGTTGGTGTCCGAATTTGTATACATATCCGGCGTCGGGAGTCACCACTGTCCGAAGTACTAGAGGAGCCGAGTCATCTATTACCACAAGTCTCGTACTACTCTCCCCCGCAGCCGCTATAACTTATTCTTCAAGATCTGCAACAGAACCGTTTTCTATACTATAAGTATTCGACATTAATTGAAATAATCAACAATTTACCCAGAGCCGTCTTATCATCGACATACCACACAGCCGACACGATCTCGAGGAGGAGTGATTTTATCTCTCCCCAGTGATCGTTCATCCTGATAAACCCAGCGCATGACCTTGCTCCATGTCTACTTTGCACTACGCAAGCAGCAATCCTTTCACCGCCTGCTCAATGGCGGTCCTGGACAACCTTCCACCTCTGTCAGCACCAGTAGCGGAAAATCATGGAAGCGTGCGGGGATACTGAACTCAGGAATGGCGCTCGAAATAAATGCCCTCGATAACCTTGGCAGGTCGGTCCTGCATCTGGCATGCACCTCCACTGAGGCTTCAAGCCTGGAGTACGTCCGCATGCTCCTTGCCCACCCAAGTATCAACGTGAACATCCTGGACAAGGAGAATCACTGGACGCCCTTACACAGGGCGCTATATGTGGGAAACATCTCTACTGCGTACGTCTCTATTTTCGCATGTGCAACCGGCGCAATCTTGTCTTACTGAGTTCAAGTATCCTTCTATTGAAGCGCCTGGATATCGATACGTCGATCAAGGATTTAGAAGGGTATACTGCTCACGACCTTTACAACTCAACTGTGAGATCTGCAAATCCTACCGAGGACGAAGAGACTCTTGCCGAGCTGTTTACCTGGGGTACGAACAGGTAAGTCGACGTGTTGTGGAATTGAGTGATCACGCCTCAAGGGGGTTTTGACATCAGAAATGCAGCATTGGGGCTGGGCGATGGAAATGATAGGGCATACCCGGATCAGGTCATAATTCCCCGTAAGGACGATGCAGCATACCAGCACACCAGGACCCTCGACGACCGCTTCGCCCCAATCCATGTCCGGCAAGTGTCGATGTCCAAGCTTCATACAGGCGCGTTTTGTTCGGAGTATATGTGTCCCGAGCTCACCATTATGTAGTCGTGCTCACCTCCGAGCCTCGGGATAACATCCGTGTGTGCGGCTTTGGTGGTGGAGGACGGTAGGCGCAGACATGTACTCGATCGTACGCTGTATTGTTAATTTTTCTGCAGTTTGGGTCAAAGCCAACATACACAGTATGCCCTCACGCCCCTTCCTGACATCAAACACACCATTGAGTCCGTCGCGCTTGGCCAAGACCACACCCTCATACTCACTTCGACCGGAGAAGTTCTCACCTGGGGACTCAATCGCTTTTCTCAGCTTGGATACGTCATCGAGGTCTCATCCTCCGCTAAACAAGACGAGCACATCCAGGCTACCCCACGGAAAGTCGGTTCCTTGAGGAGAGAGTTTGTGAAAGGTGTTGCAGCGTGCAAGACCGCCTCTGCTTGTTGGACAGATACGGAAGTATGGACGTGGGGCACGAACGGCGGGCAACTTGGTTGGTTATCTTTTCCTGGGTTTTTAATATGCGCTCACGTTAAAATTCATTAGGGTACGACAAGGCATTGGTACCCGTCCAAGTGCTCCCTCGTAAAGTCTCCTGCATAGTGAAGCCTGTTCGCGCAATAGTGATGACAGTTCGTCGGAATTTATATATGGTTCTAGAACGAGAGTGACTCCGAATTCAGGAAACCCTCATGGCATGTCTGTTTCTCACAGGCGAAGTCGTATGTGTTTGGTCTGGAGGGGTTTCAAAGATCAGGTTGGACTTTTCCTGAGCTCAGTTCACTTTCTTACTGACTTTTGTTGCCTAGTTTCCCCACCCAGAGATTCCCTTCAGAAATCTCTGTCTACCGGCCCCCGCAAGCAATCAAGGGTCAGACCATCATAAAGCTCAGGAGCTGCGACGATACCATCGCCGCCCTCTCATCGAATGGGGAAGTATTCACTTTTACTTCACAACCTATTGGAGAAAGCGACTCCGCAAAGAGTTCCCCTGCTTTCAAGCCTCAACGCATATGGGCCCTAAGACGTCAGTTCAGTGCTGTACAGGTGGGTGGGCTCAAATTCAAACACTATGTCGTCTGACGTCTTGTAGGATGTTGACATTGGGGCCGATGGAAATGTCATAGTCTGCACCCAGTCTGGACATGTTTACGTTCGCTTGCGGAGTGCCAAAGGAGGTCAAGGCCCCGGTGCCAAAGCATTCAAATTCCAGCGCATACCGTACATCCAGCGTGCTGTTGCTGTCTGTGCAAACAGCACAGGGGCGTTTGGGGTTCTGCGTGTTGACTTTAATCCACTGCCCATCATCGTCACGGCGCGTTCATTTTCATGTGACATTACTAAGATTCAGCCATACCTAGGTCCGTCATCGCGTGCGGAGGCACCATCTACTATACCAAACACGACGACACCTCTCTTGGATGCTGACGAAGATAGCGAGGACTTATCGATTCAAGATGATATCGGGGATCTCTCGAAGCTGCTTCAGGTTCTAGACCAACGCAAGAACGCGCCAGATATCGCCTTGCCCCATCATGCCGACGTAGTTGTTGTCACTCCCGGTCCACTGTACCTTCCGGCTCACCGGCTTATTCTCGCTGTGAGATGTCCGGTATTAGGTGACATGTTGCATACCGGACGTCCGTTACATGATAAATCTTCAGGAATTGAGATCAGTCTTGTCCCAGGAGACACAGTCCACATTCAAATAATCGGATGTCATCCTTTCACGGTCCTTATCCTCCTTCGATACTTGTACTCGGACCAGCTTCTCGCCATCTGGGATTTACGCATCGGAACCCCCTTTGTGTCCCAATTTCAAACATTTTCTGTGAAGCCTGTAGCAATCAAGGCCGAACTTCAATCACTCGCACGTATATTCAATCTTCAACTTCTTTTGAAAGCACTTCAATCGCCAGGGAAGCGGGTCCCCACTCCTTCACAGTCAGAAGACTTTCGCCTGCTCTACCAGAGAACCCAGTTAACTGGGCGTTTACGGCATAATACAAAAGAAGACTCCCTTGCGCCCGACGTCGCGCTCCACCTCGCCGACCAGGTCGTCGTTTGGAGTCATTCAGTGGTGCTACAAGCCCGTTGTCAATTCTTCGCCAGCTTCTTTGAAGATAGTGTATGGTCATCTAAGCGTCGTGATAAGTCGGGTATCATCGATGTTGATCTCAAGCACTTGGAGTGGCAGGTCATGCAATATGTCGTTCGATGGATATGTTATGGAGATGAGAACTTATTTGAATCTCTTGGTATGTTTTCATATCTTATCTTATTGGTATCCGCCATCTTACTGCATCGAAGACTTCGTGCAAGGAGTAGACGACCTGCTATCCTTCATGTTCTCTGTTCTTTCCGCAGCGGTGAGTTTACGCGCACTATCTCTAGGCGCATGGTTCATAATACAACGTCGATCAGAATGAACTTTTACTCGATCGCCTGATGCTTCTCTGTTCACAAGTCATTTTGAAGCATCTCGATGTTTATAATGTGTGCTATTTGCTTACTGACGCAACGCACATCAACGCGACCCATCTCGTTGAACGCCTGCAAAGTTACATCACTGCAAATCTGGAGATGATGCTAGAAGGTCACATGCTCGAGGACCTCGACCCTTCCATTGTGCGGCAGCTTTCTGAGTACATCCGTAGCGCACAGATGACGAAGTCCCTGGTCTCTCGTTCTAACTTACTAGCGAACCAAGCGCTGCGGAAGCATGCCGAATGGCTTGCTCAACAGGATATTCCAGTCATCTTTGAACCTGTAGACAGGCCACAGGTTCACAGGGATTCTCTGAAGTCACTGACTGCGGGCTCGATCAAAACTCGCTCTATTTCGAGTCTATCTGTGCATGCGGCGGCAGATCCGCGCAAGGCTACTGATGGCGGGCCGTCAGGAGACGAGCTGTTCGTGATGGACGAAGTACCCTCGTCAGATATCACTCCTAATCATCCGGTACCCGTGGCTGCTGAACCGTCTGGACCAGTACCAGTATGGAAACGGCCCATCTCCGCTCCCAGGTATGTGAAACTTTGACTTCCATTCTTACTATTCATTATACTGATACCATCATGAAGGACCGATCTCAAAGCCATTATGGCAGAGGCTGAAAACACCAAAACATCTGGTGTTGCGAATAGAGCAACACGCGGTGCTATAGCCAAACCTAGTTCGGAGTCTTTGACACAAGTAGCTACGTTACAGCGTAGGACCGTAGGCTCGCCAAAGCCTGACGCGTCACCGACACCACGTCGAACGCTGTCCGATCTTGACTCGGGAAAGTCATCGCTTCCCGAATTATCCGCCACCGTGAAGCCAACGCATGCGAGAACACCTCAGCGGCCAGTTCCTCAAGCCGTACCTTCATCTTCGAAGCCCCAGCCGAATGCATCTTCACTCGGACCCGTCTTTTCCCCCGTTCGACAGGTGCCTTCGACATCCAGTTCACCAGGTCCCCGACGTGTTTCGTACGTACCTACTGTTCTCCTCGGCAATGTCTTTCTGAATCATGATCACCAGGAATACGGGTGCCGCATGGACACTTCCGCCTGTTCAGCCGGTGGTGCAATCGAGCGTTACAGAATCAGCCTCGCTTTCATTTGCTGAGATACAACAGTTACAGCTTCTGCAGGGCATGCCTGCACCAAAGGACAAGCGATCGCTTGTCGAGATTCAAGAAGAGGAGCGAGCCATCCAACTAGAGGCAGACTTTATGAAATGGTGGGCGGCGGAAGAGGCGCGTACTCAAGAAGAAGCGCACAGTGCTTCTCAAACGCAAATTCAACGTGCTACTCCTCCTAGGAGCAAGAATCGAGGAGGGAAGAAGCAATCTTACAATACTCGCTCGAAGACTGGTGAAGCACACCCTGCTCAGGGTTCCAGCCGTTCCAAGGAGGGGGGGAAGTACTCCATGGTACCGGAAACTGCTGGTGCAATGCCGCAGGTTGGAGGATCCAGCCCAAAGAGTCGAAGGAGACAGGACGCTGCTGGGTCGGCGGTCCACGATTCTATCCATGTTCAACGGTCGAAGGGGCGGTGAACTATGTAACAAGCCTCCAACCAGCGAACTTATAGCAATGGTATGGACTATGGGGACTGTCGAAAGGAAAGTATGAGCGCCAAAGCGATACCCAATGATCTGAAGTTACGTAGAAGCACGCGGGCGAATGCCAGGAACTTTGTACACTGGTACACACTCTGACCTGACTACATAGATTCTGTTAAACTGTCCATATTGTAAACGGCGTCCTCACGCACAATATACATCTGTTTCAATGCAGTTCATTCCAATGGCGCTGAGGGTTAGTGGTCGTGAGATGTCACCCATGCTAACGGCAAAAGACAACTTGGGAATGGGGGCTTCAATCTGGAAATACTGTTCTACGACCGGCGTGGCATGATCACTGGAAGGTCGAGGCCCCGCAATCTCTTGATAGGAAACGCGCGTGAGGAAAAATATTTGCTCCATTGCCATGGTTAATGACAAGCCTATTAATGATCTGTTCAGTACTAGTGCGTCGCGTATTGATGTTGAACGTGGAAGCTGCTGCCAGGAGCTTGAAGCCATATATATGTCATGAGTCAAAATTGGCGAAAACCGTAAATTTCAAAGGATCGCGGCAGGACCGTCGACTTCGTGCGAGGTGTCTACACACTCCTAGGGTTTCCGAGTCCGCGCGGGTAACACCGAGGGACGCACCGCATTTGATTCTACCCCTATTAGTGACCCTCTAGATTCACCCATCCACAATGGCGGAACTCTACCTAACATTAGATCGACATGTCATCTACAACTGGGTTTACCTTCTCGTCTGCCTCAATTTATATAATGAAGTATTGTTCCCTTCCTGGAACAGATTGGCCATTGCCCTGATTTATATGGTGGCAACCTGGCTCATAGCTGTGGTCCTGGTACGAATTCCAGTCACCTGCAGAACGTGCCACAATAATCCAAATGGCCTCATAATACTATACTTGGCTTTCTGTATTTTGTGGCTATGTGCCATCTTGCGGTATTATGAGCTTCCAGAGACGGAGAAAAAGATGAACATATCGCATCAGGAAAAAATTGAAGTGCTACATAGCGCTACATAGGCTACATACAACTCGTAGCCTCATTGCAGGTCCCCCCCCTACATAGTACTATATACCTCAGGCTATATGATTAATTGTGCTACATTGTATCCAGTATCTTGTACATCAGCTATATAGCCCTGCTATGTAGCGCCACATAGCCTCCAATAGTAAGCCAACATAGTTCATACCAGTGATACCACTCAAACAAATGAGAACAATTTGGATATGCATTCATTATTCATTATTCTACTCGTCTTCGCATCTGTTATCCTCAGATTGACTACCTTCATTTTCATCCTCATCATCAGTCTCATTCACACCACTGCCCTGCTGATATTTGTGAATGGCATTGTGAATCTCATCATCCAAGAGACAGTCTGCATCTCCGACATCAGCCGGATCTACTTTTGCATGGATTCTGTACCGTCATCAGCAAGACTGCGATATTTCCAAAAAAGAAAGACCCTTACCTCCCATTATCATTAATCTCCTTCAGAATACCATCGAGTATGCCGTGGTCCTTCGTTCACAAGTGGAATTTGTTGAGGTTAGCAAGGTGCTTGTCATAAGCCTCCTTGTACTTGCCACACGAAAAACTAATATCTGTCCACTCGCTGTCAACCCTTTCGTTGACACAACATTCTGCCTGACATAGATGTTAATATTGGAACCAAACCAGTAAACACATGACTCACCACTGCATACACTAATGCCAAGGCAGGAATGGGAAACGGAGTAAAAAGCTTCTCAAACATTACCCCTTCGTCTTTCTTGTTACTATACCAGAGCAGATTTGCTGCTTTCTGATTCAACTTCGTGCGAAAAAGCCCGCTGCAAGGGACCTTAGTTTTCTCATCTCCGAGGTTCTTCCAACAAAGTCTAAGTAGACTATATGATCCAGCGTATTAATCACTCACCCGGTAACATAGACCAAACTTGTTCTTGAGCTGACGGGCCAGTCTGCGATTCCTGGACTTGACAGACTCCTGACTGCCGTGCTCGAAGCTGTAAATATTCTCAATAAGTGAACGAACCTTCCCTTTGTCACAACCCAATAATGAATTAACGCTGGGCAGAGACTAGGACTCGGACTAAGGTTATCACAACAGAGAGGAATGAGCAAGTACGTCTTGGATTGCTACAGTTGTAGATACAAGAGGTTTGAACTAAGGAACTATCTACCAAGACATGCTAACTATATACAACTATTGAAACGGAGATTGAAACTGAGCTACAACTACTAGCCAATCATAAAATAGAAAAGGGAATCGTACCATAGAACATCGTAGAATATTAAAGAAGCATCACGTGACCATATCTTATCTTATCGTATCTAATCTAATCTATTTCACAATCAAAGAACTCGTCTTCTTCATCAGTCACATTGAAGACTCGTGTTGTGGGCACTAATGGGATCTTTGAACTGGTAGACGCTTTCGGGGTAGGGTTAGGGTTTGTCTTAGGCGCTGTGTATTGGCGCTTAGGAAGATTCAAGAAAGAATAATGGTTTGTTAAAGGTACTCGTGACACCTTTCACCTGACTGGTGAGATGTGACATGCGACGAGTAATCTAAAGCCAGAAATCAGCAGGTGAAATAATAGAAACAAACCACGTACAATTTGTATGATCTTGCTATTGAAGGCCATCTCGATCTCGTAAGATGCACATCCCTCCTTCCATGCCTCCTTTGCCCACAATACTTGAGTCATGCGGTCTGGATACGCATACTCAGAAGCAAGGCGGGCGCAAAAAGAGCTAATGGAAAATTTAATTAGCTGCTGCACAGCTACCTCGTAATTGCGTGCTGCAACTCGGCCTTTACTCTGTTGGACTTTTTGTGGCAAATACTGTTGCTGGGATGAAGGTGAGTCCTCAGAATCGTGCATCCGTTTGTGGCTGTTGCCCTTGCTATCGGAGGGTGATCGCGGATGCTTATGCAAACCTAAAATCATTCAGCTGTGGTGTGCGAGCAACATAGTATCACTCACCATCACAGTTAGCACTGTCCTCCCCATCTCCATCCACGAACACGTCACTATCGCCCGCATCATGGTCGATACTGTTGTACTGATATTCGCTGTAATCTTCATGTCTGTCGTTAGACTTGTCTGAGTCATTGTCCAAGTCACCTTGAGTAGTATGGGCTGATTCCAGCTGTTGGAGCCGCACAAGCTCTTTTGCACGAGCAGCCATCAACTTGTGAGGTGCAGGTGGGGCCTTCGACTGGATGATCAGTGCATGAAACCAGACATGATGCCGATGATACATACACTGGTATTGGACACGTGTTCGCGATTGATAAATCCAGAGTCCTCACAAATGAAGCATCAGCGTGCACTGCTAGATATTAACTTAAGTATGCAACTCACCTTGGTGAGGACATCATCATACTGTTACAAGAACATCTAGATGCTTGGGCCCCTACCATTTTTCTCCTGATCCTCCTTGTATCAGCCCTTGCATCATACCCTTACCCCAACCTTACCCTCGTCATCCTCGTCATCCTCGCATTCCCCTTCGCTCTCTATTTGTCGCTTCAGCAGAGTCAGTACATCTGGCCGGATCCTTTCGCTGACAAAGCATACCCATGCTCCGTTCCATCACCTAACTGATCCTGGGGACAGTCCCCTTGCCCTTACCGTCCAGACGGTAATCTATGATATGATGCACGACGCATCCCCTTTGCCCTTTTCCCTTTCTTGATCTCTGACTCAGTGCGCAGTCGCACATGCGACTTATACTTAGCTCCGCAGTTGCACGATCGTGCCCCTGCATGTTTCACTTCTTATTATGACATTTGACTCATTTTCTTATCAAGCACGTTCTGGTTCACCCGTGTCTCACCCCGAACGTGCATTCCTTTTATGGTTATACCCTTTACTGATTGCTTCTCTTGGTAGTACGAGTTATCACCCACTAATACACTTCCTGTCCTCTATATAAACTCGCTACCATGTACTATATTCCCTAACTTGAATCTACTTGGTTCTTGACCTCCTACTCTCACCAGAGTGATCCTTCTGCCTCGCCAGCAGTCTATATTCTATCTTCTTATCTGCTCTTCGCGGATAAGCCTATAGTCTCGACCTTTACTCATCGACTTCGTCGACGAGCAAAGCCCCTGTTAACTAGTCGGACTTCTGTCCTTCTAATTAACGACGATCCTTACGATTAACCTTCGGGTGTCGTAAGCCTAGGCCGATATAGCTTATCGTCTCGCACCCGCGTGACATAAGCTACCCGATTTGGACATAGGCGTTAAATCGTACTTGCCGAAGACACGCCAAGTACGACCCCTAACCTTGGGCTAGCCCAAGGACGTCCACAGACCGTTGACGACACAAGCTCTGTTTGAGCGTCGCCAACAGATACCATCCAAGTCGTAACAAAAGATTCAAGTTACCTTCTAGCCCTCGACACCTATCGAGGACAGAAACAGATACAAGACGACCACTCCCTGGACACGCAAGTTCTCTTGGGAGCGCGACCCGAATCAGGAAGATCCTGACGAAGAAGAGGTAGACGGACAGTTTAGCTCTCCCACCTCACCGACAGAGCAGTACCACTCAGACGAGGGACTGAACGACGAAGAAGATCTAGGAAACACTCCGACTTCTGAAGAGGACTTTCCAGACGAAGTACCTCCCCGAAACACTAGCGCCAATCCGAAGACAAGAATGTCTAACCCATCATCCTCCTCCACCGCTGTCGTAGTTCGTGCCCCTGAACTCAAAGCAGGGTCACCAACGGACTACGATGGGAACACCGACGACGCACAACGATGGCTCTACAGCTTAAAGACGTACTTCCTCATCAACCCCACCGTCTATTGCAGCGAGCAGATCATGGTGTCCGTCGCCCTGTCATTAATGACAAAGAACAGCGCTAAAGCATGGGCTGATAACTTCTATCGCGAAGCTTTCAGCACCAACCCTCCGAAATTCGGAACGTTCGCAGAATTCGAGAAAGGATTCAACCTTGCATTTCAACCCGTTGATAAGCAGGTGAATGCCCTCACCGAAATCGCCGAACTCAGAATGGGAAACAACGTTACGGACTACATCTCGAAGTTCAAAATGTTGGCTACCATCGCCAATATCAAGGAAGGCGTGACACTCTCACACTTCTTTGAGAAAGGCCTGAACCCAAGCCTTCGCGAAGCAATCTACAGGAAGGAGACACTTCCTGACACCATCGAAAAAGTGGTACACTTCTGCGGTACAGCTCGACTGCTAACTACCGCAGGAGCAAGGCCGTCTCTGCCAACTCCCGCAACCAACACACCCGATACGCCCCTCGCGGTTCCAAGTACTACCCCAAGCCTAATGTCTCATCGTCCAGAGACCCTAACGCTATGGACGTAGACCGCACCCTCTCTCAGGCAGAGAAAGACGAATGCTACAAGAAGGGCCTTTGCTTCTCATGCAAAGAGCATGGCCACAGAGCCAACGATCCCAGATTCCACCCGAAGATACGACGTGGAGAGAAGAAAGATACCAAAGGAAAGACTCCGGTAACGACTGGTAGAGACCAGCGTGACGACGAAACCTCCGAAGACGACATGGAGACCAACAGGCTCCAAGGAGAAGAGGATTTTTAGAAGCGGAGGACCGCAAAAGCAACGTGCGTCCCCTCCTTAGATATCCTGTGTACTCATACTGTAGGAAAAGAAAATGAATTCCGTGTCCCGGTGACACTTTTCTCTTCCACGAGTACGAAAACCGTTGCAACAACAGCCATCATCGACTCAGGGGCTGGGGGAACATTTATTTGTGACACCTTCGTAAAGAAGCACAATATCAAAACCCACCTCCTGAAGAAACCCTTCCGCATCACTACAGTAGATGGAAGCCAATCCACTGCTGGGAAGGTCACCCGATACTGCATACTCTTCGTCCGACTCGACGGACGAACTATGTGGGGAAAGTTTAACGTCACCAGACTTTCCGAACGAGACGATATCTTGCTAGGGAAACCCTGGCTATCCGCCATGAAACCGGATATCAATTGGGGACGCAACGAAATCACAATGCTCCCCACACCCAGATCCAGATACGTTGAGAATCTACTCAACAAGATTCGAAGAAGGAACGGGGTGACCCCCTACCGATTCGAAGGTCTCAGACCTATGATCGAGGACGAGGAAGAGGCACCATTTCAAACCTCTCAAGTCACTCCCCCTGGGTACGGAACACGTACTCGAAGAAATTCGACGCAAGAAGAAGAAAAAGAAGACGAAGAAGGCAAAACCTGCCAAGGAGGTACCCGCCGAAGAAAAGCATTTCGAAATGCCTCAAGAAACCTGACGTCATGGAAGACGTCTGGGTAGGGAAGATTGACCCCTACCCGAAGTCAAGGAAGTTGCGACTTACCCTT